CTTTTGAAGATGATCTTTGAGAGTTGAGCTTTGTGCTTTGGGCTCTTGTAAACTCTTCATTTATCACTTCAAATCCTTCAGACGCCTACAATGCAATGAAAGCTACAGTACCCCGAATCTGTTTGTCAATTTGTGAATCAGTCAAAAGCTCCGCAATTTAACCGTATCCGTAGATGAGCCAAAAATCTATCTGTTTTGCATGAATCTTTCAAATTTGATCCTGAAAAGCTTTGAAACATTGAAACGAGCACTGAAGCAATTCAAAGCAATTCAAAGCAATTCAAAGCAATTCAAAGCAATTCAAAGCAATTCAAATGTTCCATTCAAAGCAATTCAAAGCGTTAAGCATTTCAAATTTTCACTTCTAAACAGTTTTAAATTCAATAAAAATAAAGCTTGTTAAAAAATTTTTAGCATTTTTTAAATAGTAAAGTTGAAACATTGAAATTTTTTTGGAAAAATTGGTTAGTTTGTAAATATTATAAAAGAAAAAATGCAGTATCCCAGGTTGGATGCAAATCTAAAAGCTGTTCAATTCAACCGTATTCACATAAACTCTATTCTTTATTGTTTTTCGTGGCATTAAATGCTCTTTATTAGCATTCTTTTCGACACTTAGTGGAAAGCGACTCCGAATTATCGATCGAGTCGAGTTCTTGAAGGTGTTTGTGTTCAAATATTGAAGCTTTATCTAGGAAACTTACGGTTATTGTTGTTCTGATTGTTCATATGATATTAGAGTTTTAAAAAGTCTTGTAGTTTGAAGTTTAAAATTTCAAACAGTTTTTAATTTGAAAAGCTTTTGTTAACGTTAAAAAAAAGAGTCGAAACTAGCGAAAAGCATTTTGTTTCTTTTCCTGGAATATTCGAGATATCTCTGCGAGTGTTTTTCCTTGCTGATCAAGAGTAATAATGGCTGTCGAAACTAGCGAGAATATTCTGCTTTAAAGGGGTTAATATTGAAACATGAAACATTTTTTTTCAAGAAAATTTTTTTTTTCATTTACACAATTCTCTAGTAACACCGAATTTTATTTCTTAGAATTATAAAATAAAGCTTTATAAAGTGTAAGGCTTCAAAAATTTTGAAGTTTAATGACTATGGAGGGGTAATCAGTTCAAAAAGAAGACAAATTCGAAACTATTAAAGAGAAATCAGTTCAAAAAACCGCCAAATTTGAAACATTGAAAATTTTTTTGATTAATAAAAATTTAATTTCTGAATTTCTGAATAAAATGCTGAAATGAACAAATAATTTCAAAATTTCAAAATTTCAAAATACTTATTTATCTTGAAAAATGAAAAAAATTCGATAAAAAAAGAGAATTTGTATAAAAAAAAAATTTCCGGGATAAGAATGACGCTTTTTCTCATTTTTTCTCAAAAAAAGGTCTTCTTATTTTAAAAATAACAGAATTTATTTATTAGTTACACGTTTTCAAGAGAAAAAATAGATTTCAAGGTGATAAATCTTTCAGGTGAAATGGGATTTTAATGGGATTTTTCATGAAAAGGTGTCTCTGCATTTTCTTGCGTCACTCTCTAGTGCACTTTGTGCTTGTAGAATTGTAGAATTTTGAAAATCAGGCTATCATGGAGATAAGGTTTTAACGGTGTCCGGAGTTTTGGCGAGCATGCGGCTGGATTTCGGGTCGGAATTGGTCTCAGGTGTTTCGGCATCGTGACGTTGCCGGGGGTTCCACAGTCGATCTTCGCTCCTCCCTTAGGAATTCCAAAAGGGAAGCCCCCATATCCCAGCACCCTATGCCAGATAGAAAGCGATTAAGCGGCCGCACAAAGAACACCTCGCCAATCATTTACTGGATTTCTCTTTTGTTTTATAAATGGCATTAAAAGAAGATATTCAGCTGTAAATTTGTACATAGGGGTTTTCGGGGTCGGCGAATCGACTGGAGCTATTCATTTTATTGAGTTTATCAATTGAAACCTGGATTTAATTCGTCCAAACTTCTAGGCGGCATTTAAATCTCAAACAAAACAATAGTAACACATTGTTCAAGAACTATTGCAATGCTGTAATCATTGTAATGTAATGCTGTAATGATTGAATGTAAACAAATCATTGGATTGAAGGATTGAGTGCGCCGGAGAGTTTTTGTTTACAAGTCTAGAGCTTAAAGTACGCCGGAAACCATCACATCATCGATTTTCGACTAGAAAGTTCATTGGCTAAATTTGCGACTCACTTTTTCTCTCACTTTGCGACTCACTCAACTGATGTGAATGGTCGTCGAATTGAAACCGGCTTTTCGTCTAGCTGTTCAATGTGTGACTCATCTTCCAATAGCTGTCAAAAAACGAGGGAAATTTCTGAAACAAAGAGAACGTCTCAAGACTGGAAACTTTGTAGAAAAGTTGTTGTTTTAAAGGATATAAACTTGGATTTGTAATCTAATCTTATCTGATATCACACACACACAAAAAAGCTGAAAAAACCGCTGAAGCTCACAGCTGAAAGAACCGTGTTTCAAATAATAGAAAAATAAAATGAGATGCAAGTCAGGTCAATCACAAAAGGTTTATTAAGAATTTCAAAATTTGAGGATCAAAATGCGATTGAAGTGATCGATTCGCGAGGTGCGAAGGTCGATTTGACGATTCCTAATCCGCACAAACGTCAAGAATCGATGCCATTCATTTTCTGCTTCAAAAAATTCCCTCACTGACAATTCCCGGTGTTGATCAGCACAAAGTTCAATTTCAGCAAGTTCAAGCTTTCACAAACATCTTTCTAATCTCAGGATGCCCAAAAAAAGAGCGGCTTTCAAACTTGGTTAACCATAGGATGCCGTTTCGTTAACGATAGAATGCCACTAATCCCAAACAAACCAATGGCAATTTGTAGAAATTTGTAGAAAATTGGTAGCTTTTCCTATAAATCTACATTTTCTGGGTATTGAAAATTCTAAAGTTTTAATGATTTATGAACCCAGTTTATAAGTGACTGCGAGCGCTTCTAACTGTGTCAGAAGTAAATCGACACAGTTAGAACACTTCTAGCTGTGTCAGAAGTGCTCTAACTGTCTCGATTTATAAACCCAGTGTTTATAAGTGACTGCGAGCGCTTCTAACTGTGTCAGAAGTGTCAAAACTCTTTAAAAACATGTAAATTTAGGATATTCGCTGATCCTAACCTAGCCTATAGAAATTTAAGTATAATATTAGGGTGGTGCAAAAGAAACTGCCGATTTGAGGGTAAATTCAAAAAAAAAGATGGTGTTCGATGGTGACATGATCACAATGGAATATTTTCGCAAGGTCTCGAGCAGATTGGCATGGATCGGCCTGAAGATTGGCATGGATCGGCCTGAAGATTGGCATGGATCGGCCTGAAGATTGGCATGGATCGGCCTGAATAACGTCCCTCAGCTTGGCTTCGTTCACGACTTCTGGCCTCGAACCGTGCTCGGAATCTTCCAAAGTCTCGTCTCCCTCTCGGAATCGTTGAAACCAAGTCTGACACTGCCTGAGAGACAAACTGCCACCTCCGAAAGCAGCACAGAGATAAAGTATAATAGTATAGAAACTTAAGTATAATAATAAGCCGACTATAGCAAAAAAAGCCGACTTCAAAAAAAGTTTTTTTGTTTAAAAATTGCTTTCCGTGTTTCAAAAGGCTTAAATAGAAAATGAGATGCGAGAAATTAATGTTTGAGAATTTCAATTGAGAATTTCAATTGAGAGTTTCAATCGAGAGTTTCAATTGAAAATGTCAATTAAAAATGTTATTTGTTGGGCCCAGAAAGGGGGGGTTGGTCGACCCCCGCGCCGGAGGCGGGGGTGTGGGTTCCCCCATGGGTTCCCCCCGCCCAGCCCGGCCACCGGAGCATCGGCACGACACACACTTCGCCTCAGAAGGGGGGGGGGGGGGGGCATCATTTGAATGAATTCAATTCAGTGAATTCAATTAAAAATCTCAATTGAAAATCAATGAGATTTAAGCCATCAATATTCGAAAGCAATCAACAATTTACTATTTTAAAAATTACAATTTTATTTATTTTAAAATGTTTGTTTACTTTAAAGCTATAAAGTATCAAAAAATTTGAGGAAAATCAATGCATTCAAGTTTCCTCTCGAAATTTAGATCTAAATCATTTCTCTATTTAATATATTTAAGATAATTAAGATAATTAAGATATTTAAGATATTTAATAGCTATTTAATATCTATTTAAGATCTATTTAATATCTATTTTATATCTATTTTATATTTAATATAGAACCAGGGATACATTTTGTTAGTTTAAAACAACTTAATGCTTAAGAAAAGAGTTTTTGCTTTTAAATCAAAACTTCAAGTTTCAACTTAGACGTCACCATGTGATGCTAGCTTGGATCAATCACTTTCTAGTTATAAATTGACTCATGAAGCACAGAGGCTTTGTAAGCTCAAAAAATTGACTCAAGGTTGACAGGCTTAGTATAATACAGTACTATACTGGTACATAGGACGATTCGGTAACGGTAACGGTGATAGGTAAAGCCAAAATATCTAGCCTGGAGTTGAGATTAGATTCTAAAAAGGAAAAAACGTCGAACCAAAAAAAAATCACGTGTTTCAAGATATTTCAATAGTGGTAAATCTGATTTGATAGTTTTGGTCAATCAAAAAAACTCTTGAATTAAATAATCGGTTTCCTAAAGCCCCTTTTCCTTTTCGTTCTTTTCTTTTCTTTTTCTTTTCATTTCCCTTTCTATCATAATCTTATCTTTTTATCCAATCAATTCTACTACAGTAGCTTTAGAAAACGGAGGAAAATTCTTGTAATGAAAGCTCGAGATCGATTCCCTTTGAGCTGTCTGTCAAGAGCCAGAGACAGTTTTTCCTAAGAACAAAAGAAACTGGCTGTGTGTTAATGATTGAGAGGGTGGCTTCACCTCGGGGTGATCCACTCCCACTTCTTTTTTGCTTGACAAGCCGAGAAAATTTCTCGTCTTGTCTCCAATAGTCGATTGTGTTTGTGTTACTGACGGCAATGCTTCGACCTTGTATATTTATTGCTGTACTATTTATTATTTATCAGGTAAGCGTACTTGGTAAGCTAGTCCAGATTACGGTAGGGATGGACAAGTGGCTGAGGGTTGGGTTACTCGGGGTTAAGCAGTAGAATAGAAAACGGATTGCTTTAGGTTGGGCTACTGTAGAGCTACGATCGTTTACAGTTACAGCAGTAGTACTAAGTACTAAGTAGTACTGTACTAGCTAAGTAGCTAGTACAGATTACATTATTCAACTGATAGCTTTGGATTTCGTGGTAATGTCAATTTTAGTCGGCAGCCTCACAAAGTCTCACACCAAATCATGTCTCATTAAATGAAAAGCGGAAGCACATCGATGTCGACACGGCGTGGTTGGATAAAAAGCAGCAAGAAGTGCAAAGGGTTTGTTGATAGGGCTAAAGAAAAGATACAAGTAATTGTAAATGTAAAATTAGATAAATTTATGAAATGGTTGTACTCAAATACTTGTGAAATAGCTCATGTTTCAATTTTTTGAGCCTTTTTAATATTTGATTCAGTTTAGTGGACACATTTTAGAAAAATTCTTAGCGTTACGGTTAACGAGAGATCGTTCGATCCGAGTCGAGTTTTTGGCCAACTTGCAGCTCATTTTTAAGCACCCTTTTAAGCTCATTTTTAAGCTCATTTTAAGCTCATTTTTAAGCACCTTTTCAGGCACCTTTTAAGCACCATTTTTAAGCAAAGTTGCTATCAACATATTTCTATGTGTCCACAAAAAAAAAAGCTTAAACCCACTTTTCTCTATTGATTTTCTTTTTCTTTTAAAAGTTTACACGTTTTAGCAAACGAGATCAACTTTCTAAGCAACGATTATTTAAACATAATTAACTTTTGATCTTAGTGAATGAGATCAACTTTATTACAAAATAATAAGAATTTTTTCAAGTTGAACCATTCTCAACAGTTCAAAGGAAAGTTTCAAAGGAAAGTTTTCAAGTCAAACCAATCCCAAGTTAAACCAATCTCAAGTTAAACCAATCCCAGGTTAAACCAATTTCAAGTTAACCAAACTCAACTTAAACCAAACTCAAGTTAACCAATCCCAAGTCAATCCAATTCCAAGTTAAACCAATCTCAAGTTAACCAAACTCAAGTTAAGCCAATCTCAACTTGCAAGTTGCCTAGTTGACTTTAGTTTTGAATGGAATAATTTCACAAGGGAAAGGCAACGAGTCAAGCTAGTGTTTTGGACTAGAAATCAAATTCATCTTGTACAGTCGGCCATTTTTAGGCTACAATCATTGTAATGTAATGCTGTAATGTAATGAATGTAAACAAATGATTGTATCAAAGTATTGAGTGTGTGTTTACAAGGCTAGAGCTTAAAGCTTACCCCTTAAACCCACAAATCATCGATTTTCCATCGAGTGGGGCAGACCGGGGATTTTGCGCAAAGTCTTTTCGGGAGACACACCGAGAAATATCATAGTACAGATAAAGAAAAGCATCATATTGCTTATTGATGAAGTTGTAGTTGAATCGATTTTTAGTTTCTGCACAAACGCTATCTAGATATGGGGTTGATTTTTTTAAAAAATCATCAAATTCTCAAATTGTGAAAACAACAAACATTCTAGATGCATTGAAATATTGCCAATAAAATTGCCAATTCCCAAACTCACCTTGAGGCAGAGAATTCCCAATTTCCCAACTTTCCAAACGGGTATTTCCGGTGTTTTCCCTTCCGCCCGTTCAAGTAACACCATCACTTTTTTTCTTTGCCAAAAAATTTCTCTCGATTTTGCGAGAAAGTAAAAAGAAATATATAGAGGACGATCGATGGAGAACAGATTTTCTCTTCTCTTTTTTTCCTTTTCTTTCTTCTCTTTTTTCCCTTCTTTCTTTTCCTTTCCTTTTCCTTCTTTCCCTTTTCTTTTTTCTTGTTTTCCCCTTTCAAAGCTTTGCGTCTTGTGACTGGTTTTGGCTCTCGCGCAACTTTTCCCATTTTCAATCGCAACTTTTCCTATTTTGACTTGGCTTTTTCTTTAGTTAGAATAATGAAACACTAAGATTTAGCAATAATTTGCATATAAGATCATCTTCAGTCCTCTCTCGTGGCAGGGTGATGCCAACACTTTGGCCTGGAGCCTGGCTTAGACCCTTGGCTTGCTTCGGGCAAGATTAGAATCTTATGAGGTTTGGGTTTTGATTCTGGATTTAGCTCTGAACCGAAATTTGTCTTTGCCTTGCCAAATCTCCACCGGATTTGGCATATTATTTGGTTAGATATTTGGTTTTCAGGTTAGATATTTGGTTAGATATAACACGGGGTGCGTTAAGATTATTTAGCAAAAACCTTGATCCCTTGTTTTTACCAGTTTTTAAAACGATGATCTTAAAATAACTTCAGATAACAGTTCAGAAATTGTGATTCTCCTAAAAGTATATTAAATCTTCAAAATGCATTGGATATCTTTGGAAAAACTTTTCGAGAAATAAGAAAAGTGCGCAGAAAGTTGTGAAGTTTGAAATTTGTATTTAGCTTTTTCGCTTGCGATATCGCTTTGTTTTTATGTAAAATTTCTTTATTCAGATCAATATTCTGTGATAAGCTATGAGCTTTGAAAGACTGTGATAAGCTATGAGCTTTCAAAGACTGTGTAGCTAGAGCTTTGAGACTGGGATACGAGCTTTGAAACGTGATAAGCTATGAGCTTTGAAGAGGCTGGCTTTGCGTAGCTATGAGCTTGAGACGTGATAGCTATGGCTTTGGCTGTGATAAGCTATGGCTTTGGCTGTGATGCTATGAGCTTTCGAAAATGATCTTGAGCTTTGAAAACCGACTGTATAAGCTATGGCTTTAAGCCTTATAAGCTTGCTTTTTAAGCTGTAAAATATTACCTTATTAAGACCGAATATTCTGTGATAAGCTATGAGCTTTGAAAGACTGTGATAAGCTATGAGCTTTGAAAGACTCTTTCACAACTATGACAGAGTTTGTGTTTGGAAGTTGAGAAACTTGAAACATTCCCACTACAATTCGAAAAGTCAAATCATTTTCGAAAATCGATCCCAAATTCTCTTCGATTACATGAGCACAAAGAGACGGGTTCTCCTCTTTTCCCCAATGATCCCGTTTCCCGAAAATTCCTTTAATCCATAAACACTTTCGGGGGAAAATCCTGATATCTTTTGATCAAAAAAAATGCATTCAAAAAATTTTCACAAGTTTCAAGTTTTCTGGCTTTTTATAAAAAGCTAAGGGATTAATGAATGTTACTTTATAAATGGTAATTTTCTTTATTTTCGAATTTTCAGGTTTCCCTTGATGCGTCAAACAAAGAGAAAGCGATTCTGAGGCTCTTGAACTCGAAAAAGGTGAGGGTTTTATGGGAAATTGACAAGTTTAATTGGCTTTTTGTACTGAAAGCCTAGACCTTAGAACTAGACGATGAGCTAGACGACGACTTAGACATCCCTCTATCCAACTACTTTAAGTAATTTTGGAACTCAGATCTCAGATCAAAAAAGGCTACTATAGTTTACGTAGATCGTTCAAATAGCCTCATAAATGCTAAATTTTTTTTTTAAAACCTGCTAATTTCAAAAATTTTATTTTAAAAACAGAAAATCTCCCTTAAAATCCCGATTTTTTTAGATTAAATTCAAATTTGATCTGGGAAATTTGGTTAACCCATTCGAAACCGCAGCGTTTTTTCTTTTTTTTCGTCTACGGACCAAGCCCTTTTTTGACATTTTTGACTCCGAAGCAGTTTATTTATGATTGGAAAGATGCAAGAGAGTCTCCTACACCATTTATTTTTGATGAAGAACGATTTGGATTTGACTTCAGTACTTTTCAAAATCCTATATTATTCTTATTTTATCGACGACAAATTAATCAGCATGTTAGTAGGCGAATCTAATAAACATGGAAAAAGGAAAAAAAACTGGCAGGATTTCGATGCAAGCTCTTCCTGGCTCTGTGACTCGTGACTACTGGAGTAGCAGGCCTGGATTAGGAGGATTTTCCCACATGTCCCACATTATGTCAAGAGCAAAATTTGAATCTATTCTTCGAAACCTGCGTTTTTGTGATAATGAACTGGATCCTGCGGGAGATCGGCTTTATAAGATTAGAGCTATTATGGAACATTTCAATGCAAAACCAGAGACTGCATTGATTCCGGGTAAATATAAAACATCTTCTTTGCCCACGTAATTTGTAGATCTGCTACAATTGGAATATACATGCAATGCTGAAAAACAGCAAAAAAAACCAATTAATTGAATGAAAATAGCTCAATTAGCGCTGCAGCGAATAATCGCTGCAGCGGTCCGTTCCTGAGTTTTTGCTGCAGCGATTATTCGCTGCAGAAGTTTCGAATGGGTTAAACAATAGCACAACTTTGATTTCATTTAATGATCTTAGATTTCAATAATCATTTCAACAATCATCTCTAAGAGATCTTCAATTAATGTTCTTTGGTCTCAATTATGATTTTAAGAATGATCCCTAAGAGATCTTCAATTAATAATCTTTGGTCTCAATTATGATTTCAATAATCATCTCTAAGAGATCTTCCGTTTCAATAATTCGATTTTAAGGAGCTCTCCGCGTCGGCGTCGGGAAACGTGGCCGCCGCCGAAATTGCCGGCGGACAACGAGCGCAAGTGCAGCGAATCGGGGACAAAGGAGGCATTGCGACTGTTGATGGACACAAGTTTGTTATCGAACAACGATAAATTACCAATGCTGTTTCTAGGTCGAGTTTTTAAGGCACAGCTAATTGGAAGCACTTAGAATTGTACAATTGTAGAGCTGCTCAGATTTGATTTGATTTGGATTGACTTTAGTTAGCTTGTCCATAGCACGATCAACAAGCCTAGGTATACAGGCTGTAGTCATACAGGCTGTTGGTATACAAGCTGTAGGTATGCAAGCTGTTGGTATACAAGCTGTTGGTATACAGGCTGTTGGTATACAGGCTGTGGTATACAAGCTGTTGGTATACAGTAAAACAAACCAAGCTGGTTGAATGCTACTGGTTTTGACTTGATTTGGCCAGCTTTTGGTTTTGATTTCTTCGAATAATTCTTTTAATTTCATTTTTTGTAAAGCAATACACGATTGGGTCTTTTGAAATCAGTTATTTTGAAGCTTTTAAAATGTAAATTTTGCAGTGATTTAACAGGAGAACGCTCAAAATTGTTGTTTTTGAAGAGAATTCTTCAAAAAAACCTAGCAACCCAGGGTTTTTTAGCTTAGTTTTCTTAAGTTTATAGAAAATTTAAAGTTTAGAGTTCTTTTTCAGAGCTCAACTCCGCACAAAAGACGACGATGAGGGCCGTCATGCGCTTTTGAAAGCCGATGGGAAATACGAGTTGGACACCATCGCAAAGGGGGATTTGAAAACGCCAAAAGTTAGTGGGGGAAGAGCTTCTTTCATCTGTAATTTTCATTGCTGTAAATTTGTGTAGAGAAAACGAATTCTTTTGCAATACATTAAACTCAAATGTTAATTGCTAAGCGCTTTCCCTTTTTCAATTTGAAACTGGCAATTTTAGCATGAAGTCAGCTCTTTGAAAAAGAAAATTCTAAAAAAACTCTGATTCTAGATAGATTTTATTTTTAAGCAGCTATTTTAATCAGCATAAAATCAGCATTTAAGCATAAAATGTTCAAAATAAAGAGCTGATTGAATGAAAAAATTGCGGTTTCAGCAAACAATTAGATTAAGCAAAGAAATTGAAGGTCAAGAATGGTAAATAAGGCTTTATTTTAGAAAAATTAGAAAGAAACTTATAAAATCTTTTAGGAAACTGAGTTCGAGGCGCGAAACGATCGCTTTAACTTCAAGGTGAACCCAGAGCATCACGATAATCACACCGGTGACGGCACGGTCGCATTCAAGGATTTGGTGAGTTTTTGAGGAATGAATCATCATATTTTTTAGTTATCATATCGTAATCTATATCAATTGTTTTTTTTTTATTTAATTTTTATGAAGTAACTAAAGAGCTATCTATGGTTTGACTTGGCTTTTCTTGTTCTTGACTGATCTTTCTTTTTTGAGTCAAATAAAGAAGCTCTGATCATAGAATGAACTGGAAAACAAATAAAAAATCTTCAACTTTTTCCAGGAAAAAGGCAAACAAGGTACTTATGCGTACACGATTGCACAAAACGGGAAAAAAACCGATGCGACACTGTCAGCCGGTGATGTGGGACCGGTCGGTGATTTTGCGCAAAATCTTTTCGGTAGACGCAGCGAGAAATATCATTGTACAGGTATTGCTTATTGATGAAGTTTCTATCGGCTGTTGATCTAGTTCTCTAATTCCTCACTAAATATGAATATTTTAGCGGAAACTCCAGGCATTTCACAATGCTACGATGCACAGGGACGGTCAGTTGGAAAGGTTTGTCTCCTAGACTCCTCTCCTTTTTTTGTTTTCCACTTTTTCCTCAATATATCTAAAGATTCTGTTTCTATTTATCTTCTTTAATTTAAATTTTACATTTTTAAATCCAAAATTTGCAGGTTGTAGCTGATAAAAACGGGAACACGGTGATCTACAATGAGAAAGATGTCCCGATTGGCACTGGCTCTGTTCGCCAGCTTGGACCAAGAAGTTTTGAGGTTTAAAAATGAATAATAATTTACATATAAGTAGAAAAATGTAAGCACTGTACTGTACGAACTGTACTGTACTGTACTGTACTGTACTGTACTGTACTGTACTGTAAATAAGCTGTCTCTTTCAATCAATTTTCTAAAAATGTTTCTATTCTATCAATTTCCAGGCAGTGATCAGCAAAAATCTCTTCATCGCTCGGCTTAAAGACGCTCGAACAGCTCCATGTTGTAGGGTGAGTTTCTGAGATTTAGTTTAGTTTAGCTTTAAATCTTTTACTGTATTCGGTTTGAGAATGAAGAATCGTAGAATATTGAAAGACAAAGTAAATCAATAATCAATCGTTTAGGAGGTAAACGGTCAAGAGTGCGTAGCGCCGATCAAACTCACCAATCCACAATTCAGCCATCCGTCGCAAAGAGAGGTGTTTTGAGAGTTCTAAAAAAAGCTAGCCTACAACTTATTCCTTTTTACATGTCATATCTAAATCTAGATCTAGATTCGATTTAATCCCTTAAACGAACTATCCCCTAAACGATTTCTAGGGTGATGGAACAGTGCATGGAACAGTGCATGATGACTAGACTGTAATCAATAAAAGACCTTTGAAAAATGCAGAAAACTACAGAAAACGCTTAAGAACATATATTAAGCATGTTTATATTATTGTTCAATCTATATGTCGTAGCCGCTTACGAAATTCAGCCGCTAACGAATGAGGGTATTTCCGGGCATCCAATCAAAAAGTCACCCACATAAAAAATGTTCATAATACATATATTTTATAATAAATTTTTGAAATTAGCTCATTTGGTTGAGTAGAAAATTTTTTTTTGAGCCCTCAAAGTTTAGGTTGAAAAATGCCCTAAAATGGCTATAAAAAATTTTCTACTCAGCCAAAAAACTTGCCTAATAGCTCATTTTGTAGCCAATTTGATGTAGTTTCTTAAAGTAAAGCCATCTAAAACAATTTTTCATTCAAGACGTATTATTGTTCAATCTATATAAGATTTAGATTGAATTTAAATCGAACGTTCGATATAGACTGTAATCTAAATCGGACGTCCGCGATAAGTTCAATCTAAATCGGACACAACATCTAAACCCTAGATCTAAATTCGATTTAATCCCTTAAACCAACTATCCCTTAAACCACTTCTAGGGTGATGGAACAGTGCATTTAACTTGGCCCGACTGCTTCGATATGAGCATTGACGTCACGTTGCCACCAGGTTTTTTTTATTACTTCTATTACAAACAGTCTTTATGACTTTATCATAAAAGATATTAGGAAAAGATAAAAGAAAATCCCTTTTCAGGCGTTCACATCAACAAACTCGCCATGAAGTTGGACGTTTCGATTCAGCCGATCGGCAAATTGCGTTGCATGGATGTGGCGACGTGCGGCCGCGAGTGTTACTACTGTGATTGGTGTAAGCCGAGCAGGTGCGGCCAGTCAGAAGCCATGCACAATGCCATGGATTTCAACAAATCTATCACTTTCGTTCAGAAAACTCAAATTGTTGGAGAACGCCGACGGGAATTTATGCCGAGCAACAGCCGAGCGAACGTATCGATTGACGACTCGTTTATGTCCACCGCCTGAAGATCCAAATTTCACGATGTGCTCTACGTTCACGAAGTGAGTTTGTCGAATAGAATGGCTCTGGTTTTGAACTTATCGAAGCTAGATCGAAAAAATCGAACATTGAAACTCTCAGGTCCGTTTGGCAAAAAGACTACTGGCAAAAGGAGGGCGCTGTCGATGTTTGGATGAAATTCTATGAGAGAGGACAGAGTCGGGCTGAGGTTTTGATTAGATATTATAGAAAACTAGAGACTAGATTACGGTAGTGTTCTGGAAGTGACATTTTAGAAATCATATTACAAGAGATATTCAGTTGGAAAAGGAATTCTTTGCTCAACTCGACAATCCGTTGCTCGGCAAAGCCTTCAAATTGGCAATCATCGCCGAGTGGCTGGCGGCGAATTCTTTGGATGTCAGTTTATGTAAAAGCCTAGAAGATTGCCCGAAATTCTAAGATTGTGAAACTTAGAATGGTACTTTTCTTACCGATACAAATCTGTTTTCAGCAAGGCAGCTACACTCCGACGAACTCCGAGCTGCTCGAGTACTGGGTGAGCAAACGGGACCCGGATCGTCTGTTGGCTTGTCAACATGGGGGTAAGTGCTTAACATACAGGCTAAGGTATTTTAAAGCTAACGCTGAGATCCAGGTCCTGATCCAGTCAGTCCTGTCCTGGTCCAGCTTCAGGTCCAGTTTCAGCTCCTAATCCTGCCCTGGTCTTGGTCCTGGTTCTGGTCCAAGTCCTGGCTCTAGCCATGAATCTGGTTCTAGTCCTATCCGGGTCCTATTCCTGGCTCTAGTCCTGGTCCTAGTCCTATCCTCGGTCAGGTCCTGGCCCTAGTCCTGGTTTCTGTCCCGGCTTTGGTCCCGATCTTGGGCCTAGCCCTGGTCCTAATTCAAATATGCTGCCTATCCAGCTATCCAAATCTGGCCTAGCGTATCTGTGCTATCGAATTCATTTTTATCAAATAAACTTTCCAGTGGTCGACTACGAGATCGAGGGTGCTAAGGTGAAGACGAATCTCCTCTTCGAAGCGGCCACAACGGCTAATGACGTAAGCAAGTTGAATAGAAGTCCTTAAAGTGTTAAGGCATCTAGATATCTCTAAAAATTACATGTTTTTTCAGCTGCCGAACATCTTCAAGGACAAGAAGTGCGGCAAGTTCGAGAAGTTACAAGAGGAGCGTTTCCAGGTGAATATCTATCATATAAATTGTAGAATTTTATTACAGTTTGTTTAAAAGTTTATCGTGTATTCATAAAAAATGTAAATGCAAATCTAATATATGCAAATTTTAGGAAGAAGCATCTGATTTTAAACGACACGGTGGTGGTGGCAGCATTCTTGGCGGTCTCGGCTCTTTCCTACAAACAGCACAGAATTTCGCGCAAGGATAAATATATCGAGATTCTCCTTGAGATTCCTGAGTTCCTATCTTCTTTATGCTCTTGTAAACACACACTTTCTGGTCAACTAAAAAATGTGAACCGAAGTACTTTGTGCACGAAGTACACGAGTACTTTCTGCACGAAGTACACTAGTACTTTGTGCTCCTTGTGCTCTCTGTAAACGCACAGTTTCTAGTGTAGTTTTTTTTAAACAATCAGATTAATTAGAATAATTAGAATAGTAAAACTTTAGTATGCCAGAGAAAGGGTTTGTTACAAGTTTAGAGTAGAAAGTAGAGGAAAAGCTGGAGGAAAAGCTGGATAATTTAATAATTGTTTAATAATTGTATAGTTGACTTGTTTTCCTTTCTTTTTGACCATCTCTTGCCTTTTTCATTAATGAAATTGAAGGGGGGAAATTTTGGTGACAAGTCTTTTCAGAGTTCTTCTTTTCAAAAATCCCCTTTCATCACTCTGGACTCGATCCGAAAATAAATTCTCTTCTCGATTCTCTAATTCCCTTCTCGACTAATTAACCGAAGTGTTCTTTAAAGATAAACTCTATAAAATGATGATTTTGTGTTTCTTTATGCAAAAAAAGACGCTTCACTTCAATCACTTTTTCTAATTTTTCAAATCAATTTGATTCAATTCTTTTAACACAAATTCTAACACATCCCTTCCACCTCTAAGATAAATTTAAAATTGAAATTTCCTTTCCTTTTGATTTTCTTCTTTTTCCCCCCTTCATGACGATTTTCTTTTCATTTCAATGAGAAAACCCGGTGCCATTCCGTAAATTTTCCCCATAAACAGGTGCTTTTTTTGCGTTCGTTTTCCCAAAATTTCTTAAAAAATCATTAATTTTCATGAATTTTTCGTGAAAATCTTCAAATATTTCTTTTCTTTCTTATTCTTATTTTCTTATTCTTATTGAAATCGAGCTTGGGGGTGGCTACTTTACGCCTAATTTTTTGTGCAACTGGATCATTGGATCATGGTCAACTGGATCATGGCCAACTAGGCCATTTGCGAAACTCGCCATAACTTACTTCTAAGTCGGTCAATCTTTATCATTTTAGTGTCATTTTATTGCACTTGTTGAAATCTACAAAATGACACTAAAATGATAAAGATTGACCGACTTTGAAGAAAGTTATGGCGAGTTTCGCAAAAGACTTAGTTGCGCAAAAAAATTTAGCGCAAAGTAGCCAACCCCGTCGCGTTTTCCGTTTTTTTTTGCGATTATTTTTGCACTCGGCATCACTACTCAGCAATTAGTGGGTATTTCGTTCGTAAAAATCTCGAAAAATCCCAAAATTCTCCATAATCGTACCAATAATTAGCGTTCAATTTTCAAATTTTCAATAACAAATTAAAATTTTTTTTTGAAAATCTCTTTGAAAGCGCCATTTTGAGGGGTTTTCTATGGAAAATCGTTGTAAAATTTCAAAATTTCAAAAATTCTTTTATTTTTTAGATGTTTTCATGTAAATATAACTAATTATATATATAATTAGTTATATTTATATATATATATAATTAGCTAATATAACTAACTAACTAATATAACTATATTTAGTTTTTTTTTTCCTTTTTAATTCCGAAAATCCTACAAAAATTGCTGTTGTAGTGCGCGCCGGTCGGCGTTTTGAGCAATAAGCCCGTTTGTCTTTGGATTTGTGATTTCTTTGAGATTCTTTGTGATTTGCATATTTTAAGTTGGATTTGATCGAAATCATAGCATTTTTGCAAAAACAAGAAGAAGAAAGGAGATAAGCGGACTCGAACCAGACGAGTAGCCATGCCCCTCGGGCTAGTATTTAGACGGCTAACCGCCTGCGCCACGCCTGTTAGTTGGGGAGGTAGGCGGTTAGCTGTTTTCATACCAGTCTATAGGGTCCCGGTTCGATTCCGAATCCGATTTTTTTGCGGTTTCTTTTGCTTTTTTTGCAAAAATCTTTTTTTTATTTTGTATTTTGTCTTACTTTGTCTCAATATCCAGTGCCTTCTTTTCTTGCAAGCAAAACAAAAACGATTTGCGCTTTCAAATTCTCCTAATACGACAATGATTGTGCTATATATTTATCGTATTAATAAATTTGATTGAAAAATTGAGAAAAAACAAGGGAAAACTTGTGAAATCTTTTCGGAAAACCGCGGCTTTTCTCCTAGTTTTCAGGGAAATTTATGAGAATTTGTGAAAAAACGAAAAAACGAAAAAAAAAAGCAGAAAGTCTGAAGTGGGGATTACCTAAAGCTTTCCCATTTCTTCACTTTTAAAGCCTTCAAAATGCTTGTTTCAAGAAATTCTCTTTTCTTTAATATTTAAGCATTTTACTTGTGTACTTTGTGCTCTTTGTAAACGCATTCTTTATGTTTCTTCAGATAACTATAGAAAAATAAAGAAAGGGATGCGTCGTTTACGATTTTTGAGTCTTTTTCTTTGAACAGAACAAATCGGAGGAAAGAATAATGAACGGTTTTTGAAGTTTTCAAATCTAATGACTAAAATTCTCTCAAAGATTCTCTCAAAAGATTTTGTTTCTTTTTTTTGAGAGGGATCTCACTCTTTCTCCAATTCTTTGATCATTTCCAGGTGTCAATCAAATCATTGTCAAAGGAAAACCAAAAAAATGTGTCAACTTTGAAGTTTTAGTCTTCCTAAAACAATGCGATGAGGAAAGGCAAACAACTGCTCAATATTGTACACAAGCTGAGTTCAAGGCTTTGTCATGGACCTTAAGATAAAGCTTGTAAACGCATCCCTTCTGGTGCACAGCGGAAATTAAAGAATTAAGTGCGATAGAAGTGTGATTTGTTTACAGATTTGAGCACAAAGTACCCCGCCAAGCCTTAATGAATAATTGCAATATTTCTAAGCGTTTTCTTTGATTTCTTCTTTGTCCCACCCCTTCCTTTCCCTCTTCCTTTCCTTCCTTTCCTCTTCCTTTCCTTCTTTCTTTCTTTTTCCCCTTTCCCCCCTCACAAATCCCCTCTCTCCCCACGAAACCCTTCACTCACCTTCGAAATTTTCTTCCCGACTTTCTTGACACTAAAAGCTATTTAGCTTTGGAAAGTTTTAAGTTTTAAATCTTTTCTAAAGCTCTAACCATTTCAAAAAAGAGTCATTTCTAGCTAAGAATTTCAATTTAAAACTTAGATTCAAATAAAATTGTGCTTTTTAGAATAAGCCGTTTTCATCTTCTAAACCTTTTAAACTTAGAAAAAGCTATGCGAATTTGATTAACTCAAGCTCACCACTCAACTCTCAGCTTCTTCAAGTTGAAACTAGGACTCATTACTGGTAAAGTGAGCTCTCGATAATTGTAAACACATCATTTCTAGTGCACTTAATCCTTCATTTTCTCTCGATCATTTCTGTGAGAAGAAAATGAAAGAAAGAGTGGATTTTGGTGCACAAAGTACATAGATTTGAAGATTTCAAAAGTCATAAGTGGTCAGTTCAGTTTCAAATTTACATAACTTTCTTCAAAAACATCATTTTCAATTATTTTTTTTTATAGATTTTAAGAGAAAAGGTTTCCGGTTTTCAAATTAGAGCAAAAGAAACCCAATTGGAAAGATTGATGTTGAGGGAATTGAAGTGAAGCTGCGAAAATGCTCCTCAACTTGAAAACGGCTTCGATTCTCTCAAATCCCTTCAATTGAACTTTTTGATACAATAGAAATGAAGAAATTTGATGCACGAGAAGTTCATTTACATTTTTTTGAGTAGAAATTACACCAATAAACAGATCTAGTTTCAACTTTTCCAAAGTAAACTGAGCGTTGAATTGCCTAATCAGCTGGGAAATGTTGTTATTGTTTTTGTTGTTTAAAAATCGATTTGTTTCCTTAACAACATCTATTAAATATATTTTTTTTTACTTTAAAATTTGTATTTTATCGATGTAAAAGGCCTTTAAAAGGAGATTTTTCTTTTCTTCTTCTTCAAAAAGCCGCTAAATTCGATTGAGCTCCGAGAAATACGTTAAAAATCGCAAGGAATTTCAGGAAAATTTTGCGATTTGGTCACTTTGATGAGTTTCTCTCAAAAATTGTCCAGAAAAATGCCTAATTTACAAGTTTTTCATCAAATTTCATCCATTTCCGACAACTCTTTTTCGTCTTTTTTTTTAACCATTTTACGCAATTTGCACCCCATTACCCGGGTTGATTTTTAATGTTTTTTTTTTCGGGAAAATTCAAACATTCAAACATTCAAACTCACCCAATTCAAACACAATTTTTCTTTAAGAAAAAACAAATCTTTATTTCAATTTCCTTTCGTAAATTCGAGATTTTTTTTGGTTGAAATCAATCTTCCACAATTTCATCGATCATTGGCGCATGCTTTATTAGTTTTGCTTTCATCACGATGAACTCAAGGAAAGTTGAAACTTGGACTTTGAACTGTACCCTGTGCTTGCTCAAAAACCATAAAAACCCTCTTTCTGACGCACCAAATCGTGCACGCAAACTGGTGCACCAGATAGGGAGCGTTTACGGAGCGAGCTGAGTCCTTTTGCAGTTATTCGGCTGAGCACTTGCTGAGTTTTATTTCTCTTCACTGAGTGATTTAAAATTTGTCAGCGGCCAAGAGTTTTCAAATTCTATTTTAACATGTTTTTGAAACAGTTTTCTAATTGAAATCTTAAAAAAAAAAAAAGTTCAAATTTCACATTGTAAAATCCATGTTTCAAAAAGAAACATAACAAAAGCTGACTCCCAGACGTGGTCGTTTCCAAATTCTGAATGGAAAAAGATTGAAAACTCGAATTTTTTGTTTACCTTATATTTTTATGTACTTTATACTCTCTAAATCCTATAACACACCCTTTCTGGCGCACTCAACTCTTCAATTTTTCCTTGTAACATTGAAGCGTTGAAGAGAAGTGCAGAATTGAGTGTGCTGAAAGAGGTGTGTTTACAAGATTTGAGCACAAAGTACCATACGAGACTTGAGTGACTCAAGGTACTTTCAAAGTTTTTGTTTTTCTCTTTTTGAAAGCTTTTGAGCTTCATAGAACCTCAGGAAATAAAGAAAAGTGAAATTTGAACTTTTCAACGAGCCAAAGCTTTATTTCAATTCATTCATTTGATTTCTGTTTGGCTTTGATTCATTTGATTCATTTGATTCATTTGATTGAGTAAATATACTCTACCGTAAATACTAGTACCCCATCCCCCTCGTACAGTCGCGTAGTCGCAAAAGTTTTTTAGTATTTCATTTTTTTCAAAGCGCCCGTACTTTCAAAAAATGCGTCTTTGGTATCAAAAAATAGCCCCGAATTTCAGCTATTTTTTGATATCTAAGCGCGCATTGTAGCATAAACCAGTGTCGAGAAAAACTCGTTCAAAGCTAGACTATGCAACACTCTGCACCGTCATTATGGGGGTGGGGTACTATTACAGTATTTACGGTAAGTATACTTTGAAATCAAATTTTTTTTGATTTTTTTCTATCAAGGCTATCTCTTTAATGAATGATTTCAAATTTTGACACCATAAAGCAGCTTTCGATTTTAAGAGTTGAATACACTTTAAACAACTTGAGCACTTATTTTTTCGGCCACCTTTTTAGATACTTATCATATATTTTAGATGTTTTCTTTTCCTAGCATTGTAACAATTGTTTTGAATCATTTTTATTTTGAATCATTTTCCTTTGTTTCTTTAAAACATAACACATAGGTTCATTGTCAGATTTTTTTCAGAAAAGGTTTTTCCACAACGGATCGTCACGGCTTCCACGGCGGCGCCATGGAGCGCGATTTGCGCATCAAGGTTGGATAAAGAGGGGAAATGAAAAGAGAAAAATGACAATAGTTTTTAAATATTCAAAATCAAATTTTAATGGATTAGAGCCACAAATGTAAATTAAAATGAAAGACTACTTAAAACCTGAAGCGTTTAGTGTAGCACTTTGTATATCCTCTCTCTCCAGGATGAGAGTTTTGGTCGACTTGAGTAATTAAACCGGTTCATAAAGTACTTTCAACGTTTCCCGGGTAAGACTCGGATTGATCTGGGTAAATAAATCGACTCAAAAACACTGTAGAATTAGCTCTACACTGTAGAATTGGCTCTTGATCTGCTCAAAGGATTTTTCAGGCGTTTATGGAGGAGTACGCTCGTTTGATGTCCCTTTTCGACGACATTATGACAATGAAGAACGCGATGCTTCGTTTAGAGGTCTACATGGTCATCATGGTGTGCCAGATTGCGTGCGGTGTCATGGTTAGTGAACATTTTTAAGCTAAACAAGTGCTTTGTGCCAAATCTATAAATACAGCCCTTCTGATGCACTGAATTCTTCATTTTCTCAGAACAACGAGTTGATGGCACGAGAAGAAAGAATCTCGTGCACCAGAAAGTGTTTGTTTGTAAGATTTGTGAGCATAAAAGAAAGATACATCGATAATTTTTCTTTCTTTTGAGAGATTTAAGAAATTTTTAAAGCAATTATTAATTCGACTTTTTTTTTTGTTTTGACTTTAATGAATTTGAAACAAGATGTTTTAAAAGCAAAAGGTTTCAAATTTTGCAGCTAAAGTAGCTTTCGATGTGCGAGTTTTCAAATAATTTCATAGCATTATGCTTATTAACACGTTGACGACATTGTCACCTAATGCTGTCTGACACATATTCGTTCGCCTGAGACATTGTCACGTGATGCTGTCTGACACACATTCGTTCGCCTGGGACATTGTCACCTGATGTCAGGTGACATTTTTTGTCGAAAAAAAACAACGTTGTCCCATGCGATTGTTTGTGCAAAAGCGCCATTGTCGTCAACGTGTTAAAATGTTTTCTACGCAAACTACCTTATCAAAGTTGAAACTTGAGTCTGATTTAGTATACTTTCTGCTGAAATCTGTAAACAAATCCCTTCTTGTGCACTGAATTCTTCACCCACATCAGCAATCTGTTCTTTCAAGAAAAATGAAGACCTGAGGTCACTAGAAAGCGTGCGTTTACAAGTTCCAAGAGAGCACAAAGTAAGGCACAGGCTTACTTTAGGTAAACCTAAGAAAAACAAAGTAAACGAAGGACTGGCTAATGAACTAACATAGTAACGCTAAACTTTGCTTGCTTTTCCGGTACAAAACAAATCGGATATGTTTGTTTCAAATGAAAATTTGACCTTTGTTTGCTCAAGTGTGCCCATTTTGGCTTCAGTTGAAAGGCAAAAAAAAAAAGAATATTGAATTTCCCCTCTTTTGCCCATCATTTTCTCCCAAAGTGACGACTCTTTGGCTAAAAGTTGCAAAGTTCTGCAAATTTGCAAAATCAAAACGAAAAGGGAAGCTAAAGTGGGGTAAAATTTCACTATAAAACGTGGAAATTTTGGGATATCTGATAGGAAATCGATTGAAAAGTCGTGTCATTTTTGGATTTTTGCAAAATACGATGATGAAAATGATTAAAAAAAATGATCAAGAGATGTCTTTTTTGCGATCGTTTTTCCCTCCAAAAACACTATAAATCAATGAGAATATCACATTTTATTCTTCTCAAAGTCGACATTGCTCGCCTTGCTTTGTAAATTTTTAGAAAACGTGCCGAATTTCATGAATTCTATGTTTCGTCAACAAATTTTAGATACTTCAACAAATGGAGCAAAATTTCCGCAAATTTCTCGACTCGGCTTTCCAAAATTTGTCAAAATTTGTCAAAAATTGGCAAATCTACTGTTTTCGCAAAAAAAACCTGACTATTCGTTGAAATTGATGGGAATTTTACGTCCAAATTGTTTGCAAATTGCTAATTTCGGCAATTTTGCCCAAAAATTAGCACTTTCTAATGCACCTTTCTTCACTAAAACTAGTGAAAATTTTAAAGAAAACTCAAAAATTCTTTTGCTTTCTGATTTTTGGGGAAAAAAATTAGGCAAAGAGACGCTAATAGCTAATGGTTTTTCGGGAGGAAAGCTGAAGAAAAGCAGAAGAAAAGCTGAAGAAAACCAGAGAAAAGCGACAAATTTTAGCGTTTAGCTCATCATTTCTCAAAGGTGTCCAAGGAGATTTTCGAAAAAAAAAGCAATTTTGAAACAAAAATGTGAAAGGGATTTGATTTTAATTGAATAACACAATTTTGCGTGCACTAGAAGAGATGTGTTTACAGATTTTGAGAGTAAATATGAGTTTAATACGAGTTTCAAAGTGGGCTTTCAAAATGGGCTTAGGCTCAGGCTTAGGCTCAGGCTTAGGCTTAGGCTTAGGCTTAGGCTACAACAAAGACTTCAACTACAAGCCACTTTTGCAACGGTTTTCACCGGATTTACTTTAAAGCATTATTTTAAAGCATTACTTTTGTTTCTGTAAAGCTTTTTTAAAAATTAAAACGAAAAACTTGAAATTCCTTTGAGCAAAGAGCACAGATCATCGAGAATTCGAGATTTTAGTGAGCGTTTAGTGATTTCAGCGTCAAGACTTTAAGATCAAAGCCTAGCCTCATAGTTAACTGGACTTTAACTCTAAAAAGCATCAAATAAAATTAATAACTTGCATTTCCAGGCAGCCGGCGTCTTTCTCCTGTGCCGAATGTATCATTCTCATAAAACTCGAGGCGAATACGAGCTGGAGCACCGTTTCGAGCGACCGTGCCAATCGTGTAACACCCCATCGCCGTCACCCATTAAACCAACGGCCGACATTCCGAATCTCGTCAAAAAGCCGACCGTTTAGACGAAATGAGAATATTTGCTTAGAAGGGGATGCCACAAAATGGCCGTAACAGATTTTGACGCCGATGAGATGCAAACGCCTATCCAGGGAATCCGATGCTGTCTTCAGTTTTTGCCCATGTTCAAAAACATCCGAGAAAAACGTGTCCAAAGTTTGAGTGTCTACTCGGGAAATTGTGCCGCGGGCTTGTAAAGGCTTTTTTCCGACTCTCTAAATGTTACCAGATGGTGTAGTGGTAGCTGCGAGCGTACCCGATCTTCTTTTTGCTTTTTTTGCTTTTTGCAACCTGTTGTTCGGATCCACTCCGGGGGAAACTTTTGTTTTCTCATGCAAAATTAGCGAAAATCATTTTATAGTTCCTAAAGTGCTTCTCTGCTTATCGCTAATGATCTACTAAAAGCTTTTCGTGAAAACAACAAATTTATAACATAACTTTAACAAGCATAATGAAAAGCTTCAAAGAAATGTGAGAAACAATAGAGATTACATGGTGCTGAGAAAAGTGGAATTAATTAAAACAAAGTTATACGAGAAATAATGTTTAAAAGTAGTATGTAGTAAATAAAAAACCATTTAATTAGTGATAGTAAGCACTTTAGGAACTATGAAATGATTTTCGCTAATTTTGCAAAAGAAAACAAAAGTTTTTCCCGGAGTGGATCCGAACCTGCGGCCAAAAAGCAAAAAGGAGGTCGGGTACGCTTGCAGCTACCACTACGCCATCTGGTAAGATTTCGAGAGTTGGAAAAAAGGCTTTACAAGCCCGCGGCACAATTTCCCGAGTAGACACCCAAAATTTGGACACGTTTTTCTCGCGTGTTTTTGAATATGGGCAAAAACTGAAGACAGCATCCGTCCAATAGGCGTTTGCATCTCATCGGCGTCAAACTCTGTTACGGCCATTTTGTGGCATCCCAAAATTTAATCTCACCTTAATCCAATCCAATTCGCTAGTTCAATCCAATCAATTCAATTAAAGCTAAAGTATTCAATATTGTTGTCTAAATACTTTCATCCAGGGATACTGTAGCTAGTCCAATTCCCGCATTCTCTTGCGCCAGATGGGGTGCGTTTGTGCGTTCTAATCTTGTTTCTTGCTTTGTGCTCAAAAATCATGAACACACCCTTTCTGGCGCACTCGATTCTTTATTTCAATGTAGCAACGACTTTAAGCCCTAAGAAAAATAAGAAATTGAGTGCGCCAGAAGGAGCGAGTTTATTTCTTTGTTTTAAAATTTAATTGACTTTCAAATTGCTCTTTTCTCACCAATTTTTCCTTTTCCAATAATCTCCACTTTTCAAAACGGGTAACTTTCTTTCTTCTCAAACTTTCTTGTACTTTGTAAAAATTTCTAGGCACTTTTGGCATATTTTTGAATGATTTTGACTACTGAAGTTTTTCTTTATACCAAAAACAAATAATAACCGAAAAACACACCGTAGTACATATTAAAACTTATCACAATTTTAGCAAATGCCAATGATAAAAACTACTTTTTCTTCTTTGGCGCCAAATCGAGTCCCTCTATGTATTTTCGGTCGATTCCGTACGTTCGCATCAACAAGTCTCCGATGTAATTCACCTGAAAATAAGAAATTGGTAAACTTTTGATAACCAATAAGAAATTTGGTTATGTTATCAATATGTAATTATCATTTATCAATTAGCCAACAAACCGTTTATTTTGAGACATACACTTTTATTAGTATTAAAGTTCAAGTTGCTTACTGTAAAATGCCAATTACAGTCTCAATTACAATCTTTGCCATTAATTAAAGCTATGAAAGTTAATCAACTTTGTCAATTGAAACTTCATTTTCTGGCATACTGTAGCTAAACAGAAAATTGAGCTTTACAGTAACTTTAAATTTCCTACTCAAATACAGGTTGGTCCAAATGGAAATGCTTTCATGAGATGGAATTACAATTAACGGGTATATTTTACTAACTTAGAATTAGCTAGGATAAAAATGCTCCAACTAACTTGATTCCCTTGCACGGTCACTTGAAATCCTTCACAACATGCAGCATCGCCGAGCGTCGCACTTGCCGCAACTCCAACCTAAACAAAAATGGGTAATGCATTTCATCCGGCTTAAGATTGATGTTACACTTGATTTTAGCACTTTATAGAAATCCCAAAATTACGTGCTTGTGTCGTGTGCGCGATTTCCTTCGGATCGAGTCCAAACGCGGCCAAATTGTTGACCAGGGTCACCTTTTTGTTGCCCGATCTTGTCTCCACCTAGAATCCAAATATCAGCCACAGATTTTGTATGGTAGTTTTTACCACAATTCAGGCTTAAGGCTGTTTTGAAATAACACTTTGGAACATTTCAATCCAATACTTTTGCAAAGATTTACTCCTTCAGCTACTTACTAATATTTTGTGGTAAAAACTACCGTAGCCTCTAACTATTCGTCTATAAAATTTTAAAAAGAAGAAAATAACCTTAAAAACGATTGTCGGCATCTTCAACTTGCGCACGATTTGCCTTCCGTCTGGCATGTTGATCACGTAGGTTTTCGTTAAACGGTTCACCACCTAAAAATTCAAATTTAAGTTCTATCTGACTTAAATAACCCTAGAGTTTAATCTTAAAGCTTAAATCTTAATTTATCTAATAACTAATTGACTTTAAAAATGACTTAACTTTTGTATAATCATGTTCCAATCGGTTTTTTCCTGTGAAATCCCAGTGATCGAGCTCAGAAGTGGGTCCATTTTCACCATTTTCCCCTCGTTTAGGTTCTAAATGTTACACTTTTAAAAGTACATTTTAATTTTCTTCAAAAAAGTGCTGACAAAAACCTTACCTCCTTTTTCACATAAGCGGTGACAATCTCACGAACTTCTGGCGCATTCAGCAAATCCCCACGATTGTATTGCGCGGTTTGCGCTCGCAGCAAGGGAACCTGAAATTCATCATTACAAAATTACAAAATTTCCTTACCAAAGCATCAGTGATCGCATAATATTCCTTGATTTGTGGACCCTTTGACGCCGCCGAGCCATTGCCGGACACGTCATCTTTCGTCCTCTCATTCGTCAACTAAACAGAAATCTGTTGCAAAGACAAAAGTCAGTATGATACCTTAAAGTGTGTAAGCAATGGATGATCCCAGTTCACCTGAAAACGCTTGTAAAAAGAAAAGTATCTTGCCCAACTTCAGAAATCACGTCGACTCCCTTTCCCTTGGCGGTGATTTTAAGAAGTGGCCCATTCGGATCCTTATTCAATTCGATCAAAAAGTTCGCGAATTTCTTAAATTTCGTCTTCTTGACGTCGAGTCTAAAAAGTAGAGTTAGAAGTTATAAAGTTTTATCTTTAAATTAAACCTTTTTCCCTCGGGTACACATTTTAGAAGGCAGCACGAGTAAAATTGTCCGACATCATAGGGCAAAGTCGCTGATTTTCCAAGTCGATACCGCAATCCAGCCAAGAAACATCTCATCAACTAAACATGAATAGATTGAACGCTAGATATTGCTCATACACCGTAAACTCCAAGTAAAATTGCAGTGCTATGAAGTTTGGTTACTTGTTATTTCAAACTCCTCACCAAATCTTCGGCCGTTTCCGTTTCCACCTCTTCTTCCACATCTCCACTCTCGGTGTCTTTTTCTTTAAGTTGCGAAGAACCAGATTGAGTTGAAACTTCTAAAGAAATTTATGGGACATTATTGCACTATAGGCATTTGGCTAAAGCCTACCTTGTATACTGCCAGCGTTTTCTTCAATGGAAAGACCCCCAATTTCGTCAACAATTTCCGGCGCCAAGCGTAGCTGTTTCTGCAAAACATTCGGGTCTAAGAGGGGTGGTTGAGTTCGTGGTCCCATTTCCCTAAAAATTAATATCAGAAACAATATCAAATCCAAATCTCCTACTCACCATAAATGATCCCTGAAGATATGCATGATTTGGACGCCTTTTCCTTGCATTCCACATTTTTGCATCATTTCCGATGAGATTATCGAGGCACCGATCGCGAGAGGGCCACGGAGCTAAACTTTTAAAAAAAGTGAGTACAAAGAAATTAATTTACCACATTAAATTTGGCCTTAGCTTGAAAATTAAACTTTCTATAAAGTTACAAGCTTAGAGTGAAATAGCTATTGGTTTACTTCTGCACTAATCTTGCCAGCTCTTCAAAACATGCACCTTTCCATCTTTTCCCAAAGTCGCGATCGCTACTGGCACTCCTCGATCAAACGTAGGCAGCTGTATATTTGAATTAACGATTACGCCTAGAACTCCAATAAATTTTATAAAAAGACCAGCTTTCAAACCTTGTAACATCAAGTCGGCCCCATTCTCTAAGTAGCCGAAAACCTAAAACTAACAAAATTGTTAGATTTTTAATTGATTTCATACCTCTTGATGTACGACCAATATCGGACAGCACTCAGGATAAGCCCAAGCCGCGTAGACAGTAGGTACGAGATATCCATCCGGGTTGTCGTCGAAAAATAGCGGGACCTGAAAAGGAAACTTTCAAGGAAGACAATGAAGCATAGTAAAAATCATGAAACCTCACAAACTACTCCATTGACTTATAGGTTTTTCATTTTCGTAAGCTGACGGAATCTTTTGGATATATTTTGCTAACGTCTAATGGAACTTTCAATTAATTAAACGTCAAATTAGGGTATATCAATCGTCATTTTGAGAGATTACAATGTGTTGAACTTGCTTATTAAACGCTTACTGAGTTCTTGAGGTCATCAGGGTCAACTTTAGACTTTGACGAGCCTTGAGCTAAAAACGATACGCTCGATACATAACTATGTGAAGTTTTGACGAACTTTATCGATTTCTGGGTGTCTAATGTAAGCTTTACCCTGTCGAAGAGGTAAACATTCAGCAAAGCCTCGTTGAAAGTCGTGATCTTTACATGCGATACAATGGCCTTTTTCGGCAGCGCCTCGGCAACGCCGGGCTCCACCCGTTTCAGCAATTTTCTACTGAAAAGCACCAATTGATAAGCGTTTTAATAACCAAACCAGTCAGAGTTCCTCAAATTTGTGTTCGATTTTATGTTGAACGGCTTTTTAAACATCTAAAGTTGAGATTGGACTGTCTGGTTTACTTCTTTTAGTCGATATTTCTTTGAGATTACTTTCAATCAGCGGCTTTTAATAAATTCTAAATGTTTATTCACATAAATTACCAAGAAATAAATTAAAATTACACAAAAGATACCCGTTAACTTACGTATAAATCGCAAAAAGTGAAAGAGGTAATACACAATAAGTGTTTAAGAGAAACAGAACCAATTTACAAAAGATAAAACCGTATGTGAGAAAGCAAATTTTAAAATAAGATTAATTCTAATGCGCGTATCGTTCACATTTCACCGTGTCGATGTGGTTTAAGAGATCGATGCGCACCTCCATAAAGGCCTCAAATGATTGCTCGAGTATAGCGAGATCCTAAAATTTCATCACATATCAATAGGTCATTGAAGCTCCTAAGTTTTAAGTTTATTTTAATGAGTTCTGAAAAAATTGGGCTCATGAAAAGTTACCTGGTCTTCCTCCAAATAGTTATGAATGGCCAAACAAGCTTGATGGATCTAAAACAATGTTATAAGTAAATGTTCACTAGATGTTAACTTACTTGTACTATCGACTTTGTATTGCATAAATGGGTTTGTTGAAAGATTGGCGCAATCAGTTGATTTATCAGTAGCTCGCACATGTCCTCGACCGATGATGCCTAAAAATTGATAGTCCAATTAGACAATTTTGACTCGCACCTTAGCCAGTTGTTCCTCGCAAATCGCAGCCTCCATTGTGATCACACCACGGGTCCAAGAGATCACCGTCAACAACAATTGGTGCATCACAGTCAAATTATCTAAACAACAATTTAATGCGAAACCAGACAAAAAGCTTACGTTGATGCACGCTTCCTGAGTTCCTGAGTCGCGAAGCCAGTCGAGCGTTGTGTGCCACTGTGAGAATTCTAAAGTTTTTGTCCCAATGCATCCCAATTCTTAAACCCCACCGATCCTCTACTCGCTGCAAAATGGCGGTGAGCACGAAGAGATATCGTTGGATGAGCGTTAACTTGTGAACGACCTTAAAAATCATAAGTGGTTCTTGACAAATCAAATTGCTTACTTCTGGCGTCCAAATTTCTCGCAATAGTGTGCTTGGCTGCCATGTTAGCTGGAGTGATGTCACAACAAGAGGAATGTCTTTTCCGGATTTCTAAAAGCACAATGTATTCCGCTCAAAAACTAATAAAAAACCTGGGCTCCCATCAGTACAAAAAACGAGATGTCAGCAAAAGCGAGCCTAAACGAGAAGCTTTAGCTCAAAATTTGCAATCTCACTTCATATCCTTGATTTCGCCTCGAATACCTCCGTTTCGCTCAAAAATACGATTCATCTTGTTTTGCAGCTGCCGTAAAGAAACCTCATCAGTAGGACAGTATAGGGTATCCTAAAGTTTAGATGATATAAAATTTTCAAAGCTAACTTACCCCGCAAACTTTTATTAACATGCTGCTGAGGTCGAATGTGGTGCCCAAGAACAGCGAATTGATTGTACTAAATGAAAAGTTTTTGTAAGAAAAGCTCATTCAACCAACTCATATGCGGTGACGAGATTAAACTTTTCGTGAATGTACTTCAGTAGCTGCTCGCTGCGATCGCGACAAACCTAAGAGGCTTTGCAAAAGAATGTTAGTGTTTGATACCTTGCGAATGGCCCGAATTGTTAGCGTTGATGAATGAAGAGTTTTCTCGTCCAAAATCATTGGGCCTAAATGATTGAGTCGAAAAAATTCCAAATAACGAACATTGAGTGCTCTCTTTTCGCAATCCAGCCGCCGTGATGAGTCGAATGTATTTCCCGGTTGAGATAATCAATTTGAAGTCGGCCTCGTAGTCGGAAGGACACAAATCCATGATTCCCACAAATCGTCCGTCAATTCTAAAGTGATCATATGATTTCGAAGTGAAATAACCAACGTTACCTAACTTTAAACAAGGACTTACATTGAATATGATTCGGCACCTTTCGCATTGGCATTATGTATCAAAGCCACATTTGACTGTCTCAACTTTGAGAAAGGCCAAATCATGAACTAAAAAAAGATCAATAAGTTAAGCTATTCGAAAGCTTACTTCCAAATGCGGATCACTTAAACAATCGCCGTGGGTGATCCATGCCAGTGCGTACATCGACCAAAGCTCGCGCGTCTTATAGAGAATCTTCTCGAGGAGGTCGATCACCTAAAATAAAAGTCAGACAATCATAATAGAACCTAACATTTTAGCTTCATTTTATGATTTTCACACTAATCCGTACCTCTCTAGACACCGCTTTTGCCAGCTCTTTTCCAACCGCATCCATTATCGTTTTTGCTGTGACATTGTCCTTAATAATAGAATTTCTTGTCTATTTTTCTCACTAAAACCCCACCTTCTTGAGCAACTTTGAGAGCTCTTGACAAACATTCAACACCTCGACCAGCTTCACCAAATCGTGAATGAGATCAGTCAGCGAGCGTTGTGATAGCGCTCTAAAACAAATATAATTCAGTAATAAAAATGAAAACGAACAATGGTTTGACATTCTTCCGCAAAAATAAGTGAATTTCGTGAGCCAGTATTTTCGAGAAGCTAGGTCCATCAGCCGCCGCCATAACTTCTGAACAAAGTATAGAATTTCAAAAAATTTAAAAATCCCACCACAAGTGTTTCGATAAATCGCAAAGAGATAAAACAACGCTTTACGGCATGTCTCAAAATGCGCTATCAGTTTCTGGTTGAATGAAATGTTAACCTAAAACTATAATTGATAGTCATTTATCATTTAAATCATTGCCTCCATTCTGTAAGTTTCCCCTGCACAATGAAATAGGATGTCCGAAGATGACCAACCCTAAAAAAACCAAGCTTTAGATGAAAAAAGCCCAAACTGACGTGCATTATCATACAAATCGCAGTCGTTAGCCGTTTCTCTTGTTCAGCCAGTGATAGTGTGCCGACATCGTTGAAAAGCTCGTCCGTCTGATCCCTAAAAGTTAGCTTATCACTTGAGGCTATTCAAATTATAGTAAATAGTTGATGCCGCTTACCGAATGGCAAAAGGGACATTGAAACGTCGAGCAAAGTATGCTGTCTGCGGTTGTTGATTTACTAAACAATGATATTAACTTTTAAGTAAAGGATTAATTGGTAATTAAGTTTCTTCGAGACTATCGAGACTTTGTCAGGTCACGCCCTGGTAGTTTCAAAATACGGCCTATTTTGTTCAATCCTTAATCCTTACATTCTTCCGATCGAATCCGTTCCCACTCGGTGAGCGCTCCAAGAACCAAAGACATGCTCAACCTAAGAACAGAACGATTGACAGCCACTAGACAATTGATGCTTGAAAAAAACAACTTTAGCCAAAGATAGGTTTTTTCATCAAAAACAGTTTAGTTCAATGCTTTAGAGCCATTTTGACCAGTTATGTAGTCTTTTCGTAAAAGCTGCCACTGCACTTTCTTAAAAACTATTCACTACCAATTTCACGATACTTGAAGGACAAAACTTGTTCCGTCAAAAGTTCACACATCCAAACAACAAAATACAGTTTATTTACACGTCACAAGAATAATAGAACTTTAACAACAGCAATGGCAGTTTTCAGCAAAAATGACCTAGCGAATATACAAAAGCAAGATCACCCGAATTTGGCGACACAAATCTCAATGACCAGAAATAGAAATCCAACATATCAACAAATACACACGGCAGCTTTAATCGTCAAAATCATTGAACTGGTTCTCTGGATCGTAGAAGTAGTCATCGATATCAGGGTGATCTTCCAAGTCTAGCTCTTGCAAACGAAACTGATCAGAAGGCATTTGGTAGAAAGCATTCTGAAAAGCAAAATAATGAAAATGTATGTCTATAAATCATTAGATGTGAAATAACATCTTTTTACACTCTTGCAAACCTTGTAATCTTGCAATTTTAGGAACCACAAACTTAGTGCAGCTTTTCATGTTTCTTTTTTAGAAGAGTTTACGAAAGTATATAATTTTCCCAATGTTTACTTACATCAAAGAAACGAAGAGCGGGCTCAGCATCATCAGCATGTTGAAAAATGCTTGGTAATTGAAGCGAAGGCAATTGTCCGACTTCGACCTGATCCTGAAACATTCAAATTAACATGTTAATCTTTATCTCCTGTTGATTCTAGAAAAAAAACCATTACCTCAAACACCCGAATTTCGGGTTCCGAATCGTCATGATGTTGATATTCCGGGTACAGGTCATCCTCATCGTAAAAGTCCGATTCAAATTCCTGGTCATGATCATAGTCATAATCGTAGGCATCACTAAACAAAACAAAAAGCTTAACGACTGATGAACAACTTACTAATCCACCGAATCATCTTGGTCCGAATACGCGTCGGAAAACTCGCCGGTGTACCTCCCTTCGCGTGCCCTTTCATAATCGGGCAACCAATCGAGGTGTGCGTTTTGACGAGCCAAGTCGACAAGATTGAACCTAAAGAATAGATGCACGAGGTCAAAATAATTTGCGTCACTCACGTGAAACTATCGTTTAGCGTGTTTTGTTGAATTGAAAGATTGAGACTGTTTCCTTCCAAGCTCTGTAGTTCAATGGCAAAGTCGATCGGAAAAACACCATTCGGGTCGGGTTGAATTGCCGGGATGTTCCATGGCAGCATTGCAATCAACTAAATAAGAACAATTTTGTCAAAAAACAACTTCTCGCCAACCCTGTTCACATCTAGACCCGTTGAAAGTGTGCGAAATTTGACGACAGCTATATCGCGTCCTCCTTCTTTCCAATCCTTGAGAAATGCCGCGATTCCCTCGAATGTGCAATTCGAGATGCCATCAATGAGAGCAGTTGAAGCACTAAGGCTTTCAAGAACCTAGAAGTGAAACTTATTAAACTATGAACGCTTCCAAAAACTTACTCCATCATCAAATCCAGAATATGGATATCCTTCAATGTGTAATTGTTGACGCTTCTGAATGCATTCATCGCGTAGAAAATCCGAAGTCAAGCGGTTTTCGTTACCATTGACCTAAACCATAATTGGTCACTAACCTAAACAAGAACTACTACCTTTAAGCTCAAATTTATTGGTTTGAGTTGAAGTAACATCGGTCGCAAATCCTCGATATCAAAGCCCCGAGACTGCACTGCAAATAGATTCTCGCATTTCACATTCGCTCCGACAAATGCAGTCAACAATTCTCGAAACACAAAGCTAGTTAGTGTCCTCTAAAAGAAAATAATATAATGATAATGAGGATACGGAGTGTAGCAGAAGATATTACCGTAAATACTGTATTTGAACCCCATGGGGTACTATTAGAGGGTGAGGTCCTTTTCAACATCCTCGCCCTTTTTTATCGACTGAAACAGTTCGTAAGGGATTTACATTGTTTCACATATTTTCTCGTATTTATTTTTTCGCTTATTTCACACATTCAGATGTCAGCATAAGTTAGGATAGATTTTCTAGTGTTATAGTAGTTAGGGGAGGCAGATGGGTGGGACTTCGACTAAATTTTTTTCATCAAAAACTACCTTTCTCATTCAGATTTTTATATTTTCTAATGTATTTTTTTCGCCAGCTATTCAATAAAAATGTTTTTAGATAGAGTAACAATTTTATAAAGTTAAAAACCAGTTCCAAGATTAAAATACCTATGAAAAGTTTTAGAATTTGAAGCTCCACCCAAACATTTTATACTTGCTCATATTGATCTCAAAACATTTTTATTCGATAGTCCGTGAAAAATACATTAGGAAACATAAAAATTTCGTTTCTAACTACTCGAGCACTGACTGCCTTGTCAACTCATCAGATTTCACCAGAGCCAGGGGCTCAAAAGTAAGCAAACCAGTTTTTTTCCTTCTCCCTAGATTGTCTATTCTGGATTTTCAAAACAATTCTTGTGCAGTTCTTGTTTCTATAAAAAGTTGGTATCTACTTGGATCTTGGAGGAGGGCGGAGCAAGCAATCGAGGATTGGTTTGGGGGACTTTAGTAAGTAGAGAAATAGAAATAAGAAAAATAGAGGGAAAAAATTCATCAACGGTTTTAAAAAGAAACAATTTTTTTATGTTGAACCCTAATTAGGGTGGGGTACTATTTTTCCCCTCCCCCTCTAGGGTGGAGCACTATTAGAGGTGGTGTATTATTGGAAGGTGGAGTGCAAATACAGTATTTACGGTAACTATATTTAGCCAAAGTCGATTAGGTAATCTTGTGCTAGCTACACTTTTAGAAAGCCTTTAGAAACAGGTGCCCCTAAGTTGCGCCAGTTTTGCTTCCACATCAATATTTTACCCTTAAGTTAATCCTCAAACCGCTAACCAGATGAAGATTTTTGATGGTCATCCGTGGCAATGCATGATGAAATAGTTCTAACGTCTCTTCCAACGTAAGTTTCTGAGGATACAAACATCTATCATCGCTTTCTTCTTGATCCTCATATTTCTTGCGTTGGATGGTCACATCCAGCGTGCTGCTCATCTAGAACTTGAAAATATCAGTAAATCGTTGAGTTTCTAACCTGTTCACCCTCATCATCGATATATTCACAGTTGGGGTATTGCTCGATTTCCAGCGATAGCACTTCCACCCGGTTAAGCATTTGTCGATTCTTTTCAATTTGGGAATACAATGGAACCGAAATTAGTCTACATCTAAAAACGAAATATTATCGCGATTACAATTTACAATTTACTTCTCAACTTCAGAGCCAGGAAGGTAATTCAATACACGTTGAAGAGGCACATCGGGGAAGACTGCAAAATCAATGAATGGCGGACCCTAAATTTCTTGTTTATTTTAGGTAAGGGGCCAAAGCTGTTTTAATTTCGAAATATAAAGTAAGCTTTAATTCCAAGAAATCTCACTCGATGAAAGTTAAAAATAGTTACCCAACAAGCCGAGATAGTAGCTTCTTTTTCATTCATCTTCGTCTCCTAATCAAGTGTTTCGAGCGGCGACTAGTAGACTAAAAATACTAAAAATAGAAAACTGTAGCAAGATAGACAAAGTCGAAAACAGGGCATTCAAAAACACGGGACGCTGACGCGAGGAAATCTCTCGGGGTGGTCTCGAAGCGATTCGCGTGCGCAATGGGGAAAGGGGCGATCCAGGGAAAATACACACAATTTATAACAAAGATGATGAAAAGGGCGTAATTCGGTGGTAGAACTTACTGGTTGCTATGCGCGAAAACATTGAAAACTCTAAAAGCCCAGCAGTTTTTGCCAACTTCCAAGCTTTTAAAGCAAGAGAAACTAGGCAATTCAACTCACCGATAGAATATCTCTTTCCAGTGGGCTTCTCAAATTTTCGACGATCTGGACTTTTTGTTTGGAGTTTGTTTGTTATTGTTTATTTTAGCTGAATATCTTTTTCCAATTTTTTTCAAGTTTTTGCCTATAAATAAATACCAGCAAAAAAATTTTTACCTCCGCATTTTGCTTTTCAGCATCTCTCTTTCCGCTTTTCATAGGTTTTTTGTTTTTTTTTTTGTGGTTGTTTAAGTGTGTTTTCTTTCAGATGGTCGACGTCGAGGAAACAATCAACCGAATAATGGCTCGCGATGGCGTCACCGGTGTGATCGTCATGGATTTTTCAGGTATGGGTTCAATTGGTGTTGCAGCTAATAGTTAGAACAGTAGACTTAGCAATGCCTTGCTAAGGCCTTTAGCGAAAAATTCTTCAGGTACTGCTAGTAGAAATAGAAAGAATGACAATTTCCGTTTGTTTTGGTCGTTTTAAGTTTAACCCTGGACTATTTGAACTTTCTCAGTAAACTTACTTCACTGTTGTAGCTTTAATCTCTTCTATTTCTGCCTAAATCGTTTGATGTCTATAGTTAAAACAAAATCTAGCTAACAAAATGGAATTTATCTTTAAATTTTACGTCTTTGTTTTAGGAAGAGCCATTAAATCGACACTAGACGATGCGAGCACGTCACAATACAGCACTGCCATTCAACAACTTTGTGAGAAATCGAAAGGACTCGTTCGTGAACTGGACAGCGGGTGTGTATTTGCTTATTTTCTTGCAAGAACGACACTTTAATATTTTGAAGATTGAAAAGAAAAAAAATTTCATTTTTGGCAAATTTAATTTCTGATTTTTTTAGTTTAATATTTTAAATATTTTTATAAGCTTAAGCAAAACTTTAGCAGAAGCTAATTTACCTATTTTAGAAACGATTTGACGTTTTTACGCCTTCGAACGAAGAAAAATGAAATACTGATTGCTCCGGATAAAGACTATTTATTGGCTGTGATTGAAAGTTTGTCTTCGTGATTTGTGTTTGTGTAATTTATTTGTTTCGGCGTGTGCATATTACGAGTTAGCGGGAATAAAATTTTGCATTATCAAGTTCACTCTTTTGGGAGAATTCTGAAGCTTTAGACAGTTTCATATCTAATGCACCGACAATTCGCTCAACAATTTAATTTTTAGATGTCTTGGTTGTTCGGATTGAACAAGGCTCCGCCTCAGATGCCAGCCGAGTTCTCCGGGGCGCCGCCAAGTCAGGGTGGAGACGACAAATCACAACCAAAGGATGACAAGGTAAAATTTTTGATGGGTGAAATGTATCGCTAGGATAACAAATTGCTCTTCCTACCAAGTTGGTTACTTTAGATGGAGCTGTAGAATTCTACTTTCTGTTTTAGAGCTCCCGAATGGCCTACTCGTTCGACTCGACGGCGTTGGAACGAGCAGCTAAGGCAGCCCGCGACTTGGAGCGTTTCCCCAACGCCAAGGAGGCACTCGAATTGAGCCGAATGCAAGAGGTCACACGTCAAAAAGAAGTGGATCAACAGACAAAAGTTAGTTAAATTAGTTCTATCACAAATAAAGTTTTTGTTTAGCAAGTTGAGGCTCAAATTCAAGCCATGAAATCCGATCAGATGAGGATTGCTGAAGAAGAACGACGGAAAACGCTTGGTGAAGAGACAAAACACGCTCGAGCGGTAAGTTAGTGTTCTGTGTAATAGTTGACTAACATAACCTAAAGTAGCTCTATCAGAACATAATGAAAGCTTGCTTGCTAAAAATTTCAATTTTAGCGATCCGAGTACCAAGATCAATTGGCAAGAAAGCGAGCCGAAGACGAGTTGGCGATGAAAGCTCGAATGCAAGAAGAAAGCCTTCGTAAACAAGAGGAAAGTATCAAAAAACAAGAGGCTCTTCGTAAATGTTAGTTGAGTGTTTTGGACGCATCTAAATATTTTTTTAGCTACGATTGAGCACGAGTTGGCCTTAAAGCACCGATATGACTTGGAAAAGATCGATGCTGAGACAAAGGTCAGTGTTATTGAATGACGTGGATAGAATACAGATTTTAGGCTCGAGCAAAAGCTGCAAGAGACAATCGTGATGTCAATTTGGAGCAACTCCGCGTTCATGAGGAGGAAAACAGAAAAACCGTTATTGAGAAGATAAGGTAAAGGAGAAATTTGTGAAACGGTTTTTATGCAAAACTTTAGAACTGGTGGCGCTGTCTTTGGAGCCGGCCTACAAGATTTTTTGAATGACAAGACGAAAATCACGGCAGCGGTAAAAGATTATTTGGTTTGCTTCAAAATGTATAATATTCTAGGTTGGTGGTTTGACAGCGCTTGCCGTCGGATGGTACGTGGCTAAGCGTGGTACTGGAGTTGTGGCTCGTTACGCAGAAGCACGACTTGGTAAACCTAGTCTTGTACGGGAAACAAGCAGGTCAGTTAAAAGTTTGATATTTAAATGGCATCAATATTTAGGGTAACTCCACTAGAAACGCTGAAGCATCCAATCAAGACTGTGCAAACCGTTTTCCGCAAAAAGCACGATCCGTTAAGAGGAGTTGTTTTAGCGGTAAGTGTGCATTTTTTTTACTAGATACGTTACTCTAATACTCTAACAAATTATTATTTTGTACATTTAAGCCAGAGATTGAACGGCGACTACGTGACATTGCTATCACGACGGCTAACACTCGACGTAACAATGGACTCTTCAGGAATGTGCTGTTTTATGGGCCACCGGGAACAGGTTTGTATTTAGAACATAAAGAAGCGCCAAAGTATCTGTTTAGGAAAAACCCTCTTTGCCAAATCGTTGGCTCAACATTCCGGGCTCGATTACGCAATTTTGACTGGTGGTGATATAGCGCCAATGGGGCGAGACGGTGTTTCTGCCATTCACAAAGTCTTTGATTGGGCACAAAGCAGTCGTAAGGGGTGAGTAAGACTTTGGCTGAATTAGATTGTTAATATACCAGATTCAATATGCTCTTTAGACTTGTCGTCTTCATTGATGAGGCTGATGCGTTCTTACAGAAACGTAGCAAAGAAGCGATGAGTGAGGACACACGAGCCGCTCTTAACGCCTTCCTTTTCCGAACTGGAGAGCAGAGTAGAAGGTCAATGTTTTTCAAAAGTTAAATTAATTTCTTTGTAGAAGAACAAAATTTCTAGATAAGTTTTACACTTTTTTTGAATGAGCTGTTACCAAAATGTTAACTTAAACTTTTAGCTAACCTTTTTTTTAGGTTCATGTTGGTAGTTGCCTCAAATCAACCCGAGCAGTTCGATTGGGCCGTAAATGATCGGTAAGCAGTTAGTCGAGTATAAAAATTTCAATATTGATTTTTAGTCTTGATCAGTTGATTGAGTTCGTTTTGCCGGGTCTACCGGAACGTGAAAGAATCTTGCTACAATATTTTGATCAGCACATTGCCACACCAGCTACGAGTGGATCTCGGGGACAAAGGTATTTGATAATTTTGAAGTATTTTCTCTAATAGAAGAGCACCCCCTGATTCTTCAAAATCGGGACTTTTTAGAACTTCTTTTTAAGTAGAATGGTAGGTTTGGGTTCAGCTATAAGTGTTTTAGCATTGGCAGTAAAATGGGAAACATGATTTTTGAAAAAATTTAAGAAAATTTCATGTGGGACTTTCTTGGAAGATTCGCTATGGGATCCGGGTAAAAAAAAATAATCTTACAAAAAAAACAGGTTTTTCGTACGTTTTAGGCCAATGGCTATCGTTTAAAATAGTTTTAAGGAATTTTTGGATTTTTTTATTTATCTGGGGGACCCTTACCTACTTTTTTGGTCGGCCGACTTTGGGGGTTGGAAATTGGAAGAGCATGCTCTTCTATTAGAGAAAATACGGTAGATACAAATATGTGCTTAACAGATTGTAAAAGTTATTTAACCAGACGATATCAAGACATCTGTTTTAGACTGAAGTTGGCCGATTTCGATTGGGTAGCGAAGTGTACGGAAATAGCCAAGAAGACCGATGGCATGAGTGGACGTGAGCTGAGCAAACTGGTCATTGGGTGGCAGGTATTTGACCTAATTAAAAGCTAAATATTTGAAACTTTAGGCCTCGGCTTATGCTAGTGAAGACGGTATTCTGACGGCCGAGATGATCAACAGGAACACGGAGGATGCAATGCGTCAACATCAGCACAAGGTTAGGGGGATAATTAATGTGGAAACTTGTGGTGGAAATCAAATCTCAATAATAGTAGCAAGTTGTACATTTAATATTATTCACATCTTTTAAAATCTACATTCGCTGATTTTGCATTTTAGATGGAGTGGCTCGAGAAGGAGCAACTCGCCGCTCGGAAGCAAGAAATCAAATTCGGCACCAAGAGCGCCAAGGAAACCGCCGTCTGAGCGAAACGTTAGAATGATCCTCATTTTGCCCGATCTTTAGGTTGTTAAACTTGTTGCTTAGCGTTTGTTAAGTTTTTCTATAGGCATAGTGTTTAGCGTTTGTTTTTAGAGTGTTCAAAATTTCTTGTTTCTCTTTTTTTTGTTAAAGATTTTCATTGTTGAGTTTACTTGCTTGTGTACGAGGGATGAATCGTGGTTTTTAAAGTTTTTGAAGCTCAATATGATGTTGTCGTTTGAATAAACTTAATTTTTCTTATAATTACGTTTTTAGGAAATGTACAAATGATAATGGATGGTGCTTTTAAAAGCCTATAATGCACTTGTTCTAAAAATAGCGTTTGGGATTAAAGTTATTGCAATCCCGATGTCTTTTGGCGAGTACGGTAGCTCTTTTGTAAAGGCACCTTTTAGAAAACGAAAACATTCAACCGAGGGCAATAAGTAAATCAAAAAGTTCACAAAACTATATTTTGTTATTCAGTAGGTCTACCCTCCCTGCCTTGCCCTTTTTGACTATTGACTGGGCGAATTCGTGGGAAAGCCACATTCAATACACAGGCAGACAAGCACCCGACAACAGAAAGACCTTTATTGAATTCGAATAAAAGGACTGCACAGGCATATGCGTTTCGGACCGTGTGAACCACCCCTGAAAATGAATTTATTGATGCAAATCGAGTCACATCAAAGCCGATTTTGTGTTTTTCGCATCATAGAGTACATTGCCTTGCTCATTTTCTAAAAAGTAGATGATTCTTGGCTATACCATACCCTGTAAGTTCTTTTTCCAGCTACAAAGAAACACGTCAAGCTTGTGTAACTTGAGTTTTCACAGTCATTTCCTAAAGAGTAAATAAATTTTAGACGGCTTTCTACTGTACTTTTCTATTACACAATTATCTCATCAAATTTTCTAAACCAAAAAGAAACCCAATAATCCTTGTAAAATCGTTTCTGTGTAGTGAAAGGGATGAGGCAGCTGGCCTCAGGGCTGTGGATACGAATGGATGAAGAGGGGGCAGGGCTGCCTGTCTCCTTGGAGCAGGCACTAATCCCGGCATGGACTGAAGGGATGAGAAAAGGAGATGGGAAAAAGAGCAAAGAGAGAGAGAGTTCGTGAGGGTGAGATCAATACTTCAATAGTCTGAGGGTTGGGGTGGCCCTTCAGCCTCAGACCCCCAGGGCTGCCCAGAGGGTGGAGCCTCGGGGCCGGGTCTGGGCCTGGAGAGAGGCTGAAGTCTGCCCGCACTCTTCTTTTCTCAAGCTTTCTTTCAAAATTTTAACCTAGATAATTTACTTTTATCTTACGGTAAAGCTTTGAATATCTTCTCAGCTCTATCTACTGTACTTATTCGATTTGAGTACTGAATCCAAAAACCTTTTTAAAGCCAGGTCATTGTGTTTGACAGCTGAGCAGCTTTTTAGCTTACGCTTACGATAAACTTTTGAAATATCTCTAACCCAGGGAACAGTCACATCGAACAGTAAGCAACGGTTAACTGGATATTAACTGGAAAAGTTCAGCGATTTTTAATTGAGGATATTAACTGGAAGAGCAAAAAACTTTTTAAATCTTTTGAAAGCCTTTTGCCACAATTGACTAAGTGAGAAGAAAAAGAGCCTGCTAAAAGCTTTCCCTTCCCAAACCAATCTCCTTTCAGTCCCTTCAGAGCCAGATGGCCACACCACTGGGGAAAGAGGAGGAAGAGGACTTGCTTGGCTATTCACCGCCCTCCTTCTCTAGTTCTGCATACATATTTGCAATCTAAACTTTGGCAAAACCAAGTAATATTCCTAGAAATTGAGAAGTTCATAGAGTTCTAGTGATGGTTCTCTCGGATTCAGTTTAAAGTGTCAGGGATATACTAAAGTCTTGTGAATTTTTGTTATCAAGGCCTAGGTCTATAGGCCTTGAATTTTTGTTATCAAGGACTAAGCCTAGGTCTTCTGTTATCTAGTCAAATCTCCTAATGATTCAGTTTAAAATGTCAGGGATGGGCTGGACCCGTTTCTTTTCAGATTCTGGAAAATTCTAAGGAATTTTAGAGACTATTCCAGTTTTAGTCCTCGTACTGCTCAGGTACTACCGTAGTTTCGACTATTCCAGATCCTGAATAACTATCACAACTATTCAATCTAGGCATTTGATATTCTAATCCAGTACTAGTGTCCCACCAACCATAATTCCAGTTCCTACTGCACCATAGTTCCAAGAATTCTGACCGCAAAGTAATTCTAGATTCAATATCTTACCTATAATATAGCTCAGACATCTAATCCCGTATTTGCAAAGATTTGTAAAAGTAGGGAAAGTCGAAAGGAAAGGGGATGGCTCCTAGAGACAGCGCAGTCAGGCCATGGAGAGAGATGGGCTCTAAGCCGTCTCCCGATATCCGCACATATCCAGTCACTCACTCTCCCCAGCAGTTCCCCTTTCAGCCTGTGGCCGAGGGACTGGGGTGCCATGGTAGCCCGTGAGAGTGGAAAGAGAAGAAAGACAGGCTGGGGGGAGGGCTGGGGAGGGGCTGAGGCTGGGCTGTAGTGAGGGGACAGACCTCAGGCCATCATCCCCATCTGCTTCTCTGTCTTTCGCACTTTCCCGGAGAAGATTCTTCCCAGATTTTCACCGGGCTTCTTTTCATTTCACTTGTGACTTTGTGGTTTTATTCTATTGTACTTGTTAAGCTACTAGAATTACAGTAAGATACGATGTTTTACTGGTGATTTTCTAGTCTAGTAACATCTGTAATAGAGAATCGGGTTTTCTTAAATAATAGCAATCAGTAAACTAATCTATCTACAACCCTGTTAACACTAGCTGATACTAAGGAAACGAGTTGACCTGTGAGAACAGCTCGAGGCGGGAATGGAGAGTCAGGGTCCAGGGGAGAGCATCTGTTGGCCCAGTTTCTCCCTCGATCCCTTCCCCCTTTCCATTCCTTGGGCAGATTCGGGCTCTTGTCAGGTTCCCCCCTCTTTCCTTTTCCTATTGATGGGTGTACCCCCATGTGCCTTTCCCGTATCGGCTCTATGTGCCATTTCTTCGTCTTTGCCTCTTTCCTTTTCCAAACCCGTGCCTTGGGCTAGGGTTTGATTTTTGAAATACTTTGACTTTAAACTAGAGCTTTAAACTAGCGCTAGCCTCTCAATTTCTATTGAGCCGTGGATCAGCGCAGTGCTAGCTATTCATTTTATCGAGTCTACCAATTAGAGCTCTGTTTCTAAGAAACCCTAGCCTAGATCCTTCTCCCTTTAACCCATATTGGTATCAGTAACAATTTGAATGGCATTTCTCTTTCTAACAAGCCCTAGCCCTAGACTCAGAGGTCTCTGCCTGTCTCTCTGCAGTCCATCGCCTGCCTCAGGCAAGGTCCCCTCTTTCCTTATCCTTACACCCCTTTCCCTATCCTTCTCTGTGCCTTGTGGCACTGCCAGCACACTCAAAAAGAAATGCCAAGAGGGAAATTTCTTTTTAGTCTCTCTTTTCGCCTCTCTTGGACCAAGCCTCCCTCTTCAGGCATCGACTTTTTCAAACATCCTTTCCCCAGGCACTACCCAAACCCATCTCTGTGAGTTGGTTAGAGTTGTCTTGATTTGAAAGGATACTTTATTTGTTTAATCTTGTACTTAAAGATCAGCATTGAAGTCTGATTTCAGATCTTTAGCTGATTCTTATGTATTTACTTTTTGAATGTTTATTGAAGTTGATTGAAGTTTATTGAAGAGCTACAGAAATCTTGATTTCGAAAGCTTTCTTTGCTTACAATATCTTATCGTTTAATGCTTTTACTTAAGGCTATTCAGTGATCGTTTTATTGACCTGGTCCGGTCATATTTCTGTTTGAAAGTTTGTTAATGCAATGAGCAAACGAAATTTACTGATTGAATCTTTAAGCAAGCAAAGAAAGTTTTTCGAGCTATATCTTTACTTTTTATGCACTTCTTAAAATGAATTGATTAGTTGATTTGTTCACAATTTTAATTTTTCAAACCTTGTTAGCACTTTGAAGCGCTTTGGTTCCAGACTTTTTGCGTTCTTTGCCATCCAAGAACTTGTAAACATCTCCTGTCTAGCGCACTTAAATCTTCACTTTTCTCGTAAAAACAAATGATTTCTGTGAGAAAAATGAGGAATTGAATGCGCTAGTGGGGGATGTGTTTACAGATTTGAGCTCAAAGTTGCCGGCACACTTGCCACCCGATTGATTTTTGAAATCTATGCCTGGAGATCGGGATTCACTCCCAAAAATCGATACCCTGGGCCTCGTATTTCCATTTTTCCTTCTTTCGGACTGTTTATGTTCTCACACTTACCACTCCCACACAGCCTCCAATCGAAAAAAGAAACGAGGCTGACTGATTTGTCGATTCGATAAACGATTTGCTCGTTGGCTCGTTGGCTCGTTTATTTTCATTTACAGATTCGATATTTTCATTCGATAGATTTGTTGCTTTTTGTATGAACTAAGGCCTTCTAGCATCGAAAATCACTTCTAGAAGTCTGCATACCAACCTTTCTATTATACAATGCTCACTATTGCTTTCGGTAAGCTTAACTAATCTCAGCCAGAAGCTGGGCTAGGCCAACTGCTTAGCTATCAGAAATCTTACTGATTTCATAACCCCAAATCTGCTGATCGACAGTCCCTGGTTGTTGTCATCCTTCCGCCACATCTTTCCCTTTCGATAGGGCTCATTGGGATTCCGGAGGGGACCTTTTTCCACGGACAGGCCCTACTCACCCCCTTCGCCTTCAATTCTCCCTGACTCTTCGAATGCCCGACGCGATACTTTTTATGCATTCACTCTCACACTCCTTTCCCCCCATCTCTACCACATTTCGACGTGGCATTCACACCTTTTTTTTTGTAAATTTGCTATCTAGGCTATTCAGATACACTCTGATATTAGTACTTAGTCTATCTAGTTTCACATAGCTAGAGAAAATGCTTTTGTTTAATTCAATGCTTGGGTTCAATTCAATGCTTGGGTTCAATTCAATGCTTCGGTTTAAACGAGTACTAGGATTTACTAGATACAATTAGTATATGACATTAACAAAAGCTTTATACTACTTTGAATATTTAACTTTGAAGGTAACAAGTCATAAAACCTTCAACACCAGCATTCTCATTGATTCTTTTTATCTAATACCCTTCATTCCAACCTCAACCATTTTATCAGGAGGGGATTTTCCAGAATCCTTTTCTCGGTCTAGCTTAGTTCAATCCAGAAAAGTACTTGAGTTAGTTAAAAACCAAACTCGGTTTTCAGGTTCTAGAACTCTCGGTCAGTTCTGTTACACCAGCATTCAGTTATTGGCATCAAGACAAGCCATAGATTGATAGATTTCCTTTACAAACTACTGTTTATCTGTTCTTCTCCATCGGATCTCATTGATATCAATCTTGGAATTAACTAGCTTTTTTGATATGCGCTTGCTAAAGAGCCATGATCAACAGCCATGAAAACAAAGAAAGACACAAAAAATGGTGTCTCGCTAAACGGAGGGTCGTCTTTTTGTGCGCGGTGGCCTGGGTGAGCGACATGGGATGATTCACCCTCAAACACTCTGAGACAGCCTCTCCTTTAGACCAAGAGGGGTCACATTTTGAAGACATACACATAGTGCTATGTTTTGTCCTTCTAGTAATCAATGTTCCCGTTTAGCATCTTGACGAGAAATGACTTATATTGCTCTTTGTCTGGTTTTGTATCTGTGTTGCTTGGTTCTACTCATAAATCCAGGTTTATTTTAACCATTTGTCCCAAGAAAAGTCTCAAGCGAATTGAATAGGCTTTGGGTTTTGCATATGATAGCTTTTTTTACAATGAAAAGATCCGGATTTCCGAGAAGAATCAAGGGTTTTCTAAACCGTGTCCCCTTTCTAATTTTGTCCTCATTTTTTATTCAATCTGTTTACTTTTTTCCTGCTTTTGAGGATTGACAAAGGATATCGAAAGATATAGAATGGAGGCTCAGCTCTATAAAATGTAGGCTCAGCTCTATAAAAAGTAGGCTCAGCTCTATAAAAGGTAGGCTCAGCTCTATAAAAAGTAGGCTCAGCTACAGTACTCCTACAGTACTTTTCGATCTTGGTAGTAGGTTCCTGTTGGGTATGTTTTCAAAGCCTAGATATTATAAGAAAAAAGGTAGCAAAGGGGAAAGAGGGAAACGGTTTAAGGAAACGAATAACGCTTTTATTTTTCCCATACTTAAACGATACGATCGAATTATTGAAATTCGAGCTTTATTCTTTGATTGACGGATGAGATAAACACTCTCACATTACAGAAATACCAAACCATACCATTGATATTGATTCTTTTTTGCTCGACAATTAGCCTCAATCTTCCATAGTCTCTAAAAAGGCCATTGTTCGGGACAATTTTAGAATTTTAGAGAACTTTCCATTGACTCTTATCCTTTGCAACAAATTTGAGGCCAATTTTCATCAAAACCAAGCTCACAAAGCTGATTCGCTTGTCTTTAGTGGCTTTTGAAAGAACTCTAACAGTCAGGTCAAGCTTGGCCTACTATTAGCTAATTAAACTATAGTTTTACAGTACTTTGGCAACTATTCCTCACTACCTATCTGTCTAAATTTGACTATTTTCATTTCACTATGATTTGGCTTTTCAATGGCTTACTTTATGCTCAAACACCCCCCTTTCTGGTGCACTAAATTCTCCATTTCCCCTCATAGCAACTATTTGGTAGAAGAATTAAGTGCACTAGAAAGGGTATGTTTCCACTTTTTGAGCACAACGTGCCCTTCAAGTATTTAATGTTTTGGATTTTCCATCTACAACACGTTCTTGTTAACGATACGATATCTTGCAGACAATGACTACGGCGACGCCGCGTTTCGTCATCGGTGTGCTGCAGCCAGGCGCCGATATCATGCAGATCTACTCATCATTGGTGAGCTTCATTTTACATCAAAGTCCACATTTCTAGAAATTGACAACACTAAAGCTAAAGTTTTTAAAAGTGAAAAGCATTCCATTGAGTTTCATTCTTGATAGGTTTTCTAAAATAGACACAAGTAGTAAAGTTTTCAAAATTTAAATTTAAACTACAGTCGACTCTCGATACAACGATTTGAAAATTTTAAAACACTCCCTTGGTTTCTGCGTAGCGGTCCAGTTAAACGCAATCGTTGGGCAGCTGCGTTTTAGAGTCGTTAAATCAGGAGTCGACTGTATTTCTTCATTGAGCTCATCTAAAAAACGTAATTAAAGGTTCAATTTGATCGACTTACCAATTTTCAGACCATTGGCGGCTGTTCAGAGATCTCATTCGTGAAAGATTTGAAGAATTCGTTGTTGTGTAAAGCGCAAGCACTAGAAGAAGCACAGGGGGAGATACAGGGAAAAGTCGATGAAGAGGAGATGCCGAAAGAGAGCAATCGAAGGAAAAGGAAACGACCGCAGCCGATCAGGGTGAGTGGAAACTTTTGATTTAACGAATCCTGTTTAATGTATTACGGGTGTTACAAAATGATACAATTAGATTCAACAGCTTTAAAGGAGCTTTAAAGGAGCTTTAAAGAAGCTATAAAGGAACTATAAAGGAGCTTTAAAGCAGATAGTAGTTGATAAGTTGATAAGCTAAGGTGCAGTCTTGGTTTCTAGCTTGGCAACTTTTCCTCAACGACTACTATCTAAAGCATGCTTTGGCTACCATAACCACTTACCGTAACGAACAACCTGAACTACTTAAGATTACAACAACCGAGTCACTCTCTGAGCTTGCTCAAGCAGACGTTCGAAGCGTCCTGACTCTGAGATAACGTTCAGAACCAAGGACTGTCCTGGTTGTGGACAGGCTCTAGCTATTGTGGCCTTGGTTTACTGGATACAGAAAATTTTAGGCTTAAGAACCCAGTGTAATTTAAGATCGAATCATAACGAAATTTCCAGGAGCATTCGCCCTCTTCATCTCCTTCATCGTCCGGTTGCATTCCCACTTCTCTTCTCTCCATCCCGTCACCCGATCAAAATTTGACCCTCGTCTTGAATGGGATCGTCAACGCGGAGAATATCTTCGCCTCAGCGCAACATATCAAAGAAGAGAGTCCGATCCCAGTGCAGACTGACACGGTGAGTTGAAAGGTTACGGTATTTTCTTGCAACTCCCTTTTAGGAAGCCCTCTCCTCCCATTCTCCGCCAATTCCCGATCCCCTTGAGGCGGCTCCATTTCTCTTGAGTCGCGTCTTCGGCGTCGGGTTGAACGATCGAAAAGAGGTGGGATTGAAATGAAACTGAAAAGCTCAGATATAACTCATTAGAATCAAGCTCAGAGCTCTAAAACATCACTTATTCTTAAACTACAATACTGTAGCCAAAACAAAGAGCGCTAAAATACCACTAGGGTAACCACTTAGAGCACTGTAGTTAGAGCAAAAGGGTTATTTAGGGTACTGTAGTCTAAACAAATGATCGCTGGGGTACTGTATTCGAATCAGAAGACTATCGGGTTACTGTAGCCAAATCAAAGAGCCACTGTGCTACTGTAGCCGGCGCAAAGAGAGTTACAGTATTAGGGTAACCAGTGGAGTACTGTAGCTAAATCTAAAAGACCACTGTATCTCTTCAAAACTGGGTTACTGTATAAAATATAATGAAAGAAAGGTAATTTTTCAATATTTCTATAATTCTAGAACTTTCTGAGCTCATTCGACGATGGCGATGACGATGGGATGATCGCTGAGAATGAGGTGTCCGAGTATGGGAATGGACGGAAGAAAGGACCTGTCGTTGAATGCAAAGTCCGTTAAAAACTATATAGAATTTACAAAATTTCTAAAGCTATTTAGAAATTAAATGAAAATCTTTCAGCGCTGCGCCAGCAAGATCATCATGCAGCAAACGCGATCACTTTTTCGACACATCATGACCCATGCGTCACAGGTGAGCAAAGGATCGGCTTGATCTCGAGGCATACTTTGCACCTAAACGCAAACACACCCCTTCTGGTGCACCAAGTTTCGCATATTTTGCGGGAAATCAAGTGGTCACTGCAGGAGAAAATGAAGAAACAAGTGTGCCAGAGACAACGTTAGTTAGTGCAGGGCTCAGTTACAGTACTCCTACAGTACTCCTACAGTACTTTGGTCTTGGTAGTAGGTTCCTGTCGGGTATCTTTTCAAAGCCTAGATTTGATAAGAAAAAAAAGGTTCATACTTCTTTTAAAAACCGAATTCAGGAGCCGTATCGTTGTTCGGAGTGTCTTCAGAGTAGCGCTAATTCATTCAATTTGCGGACGCATATTTACCGAAAACACGACGGGAAAGCGGAAATCATCCCAAATCGGTAAACTAAACATTTATAAATATCTAAATAGATTACTATATTCGATTGGATAGTGAGAAATTGAAGTTGACGATTTCAGAACCTTCGAACTAGAGGCCGAGTGGCGCTCGTTGGCAAGAGAGTGTTTCCCGAATCAACAAGATCGAATTGATCGGTACGTTTGGTTGAAATCGGTTCGGTTCAAATCTACAGTATGTCAGATGAGCATAGGGGACACTATAATGTAGATTTTCCAGTACCCCAACTCAAAAAGTTATCATAATTCTAGGTATCACAATCCTAGCGTATTCTCTAGTGTAGCAAAAACTTTTTTGACTTATTTCTTCGGTTACAATAATAAAACAGTGCCTCTTCTACTGTAGAAAGATAAAAAGGACTTATGGTTTCAGGGGAGAGGTCCGGACTCAGATCGATTCCCACTAGAATCAAATTATTGGCGGTTTGGTGTAGAAATAGAACTACCGTATTTACTCTATTAGTGGGGTCCTCTCTAATAGTGGGGTCGTCTGGAGGGGGGTTGAAAAAATAGTGGGGTCCTCTCTAATATTGGTAACGAAAGTGATACATCAATTGTTGATCTCTTGGATTAGTTCTTTTACTGTTTGTTAATGTTTTGTTACGGTTAAAGCTAAATAAAATATGAAGCCAAACTTGTTTTGTCAAGAATTTCGGAGAAAAATTGATATCTTTTCAATTTAAAACTTTGGTTTTATGTTCTTTTAAATTTCTCTAATAGTGGGGTCCTCTCTAATAGTAAGGTCGTCTGGAAGGGGATTGAAAAAATAGTGGGGGACCCCACTAATAGAGTAAATACGGTATTTTTGATGTTCTTTTATCTATCAATGATTAAAGTAAAATAATTTATTAATAATTTCTCGATTATTGAAAGATGAAATCAGGTTTGCAGCTCGTTCAGAACGTTAAGTGTTTTAGCTAGTTTTCATTTAGAATCATGCAGAATTTGTAGAATCACTAAACAAAAACACAAAGCTTAATGACTGTTTTCTATTTGGGGGTGGCTACTTTACGCCAAATTTTTGCACAACTCGCTATTTTTACGAACAAAATACTCACTAATTGCTGAGTAGCGATGCCGAGTGCAAAAATAGTCGCAAAAAAAATGGAAAACTCGACAGGGTTGGCTACTTTGCGCCAAATTTCTTTTGCGCAACTAGGTCCTTTGCACAACTCGCCATAACTTACTTCGAAGTCGGTCAATCTTTATGATTTTGGTGTCATTTTGTAGATCTGAACAAGTGTAAAAAAAATGACAAAATAACAAAATGACATTTAGCATAAATCAATAAATGCAATCAATTATGCAAAAAGTTTTCAGGTGCATTTCGTACTTCGTGAACTCCGGCAGCGAGACACTCCCGTTGAACGCCACCGAAGGAAAGCCGGGAAAGGCTGTTAAAATTTAAATATTTTTGCATTTTTTAAAAAATTTGTATAACTTTGTAATTGTTATTTAAAAGATATGCAAATTTTTCATATCTTAATAGACATTTTTACGAATTCCCAACTCGAACTACGAACTCCTAGTCTTTTGAAGTCTTTAAACGAAAAATTTCCATTTAAAAAGCTTAATGATTCATTTTATCTGCAAAATTTCTCAGTGTTAAATGTAAATTTTACACATTTCAATACGATTTGGCTCATTTCTGACAAGAAAAATTCACTTTTTTTGTTTTAATTTTTCGGGGGTAGGCTACTACGCCTACCTTTCGCGGTAGGCTTACGCCAAATTTCTTTTGCTCAACTAAGTCCTTTGCGCAACTCACCATAACTTTCTTCTAAGTCGGTTAATCTTTATCATTTTGATTTCATTTTGTAGATCTCAATAAATGCAACAAAATGAAACCAAAATTATATAGATTGGCCGACTTCGAAGAAAGTTATGGTGAGTTGAGCAAATGGCCTAGTTGACCTAGTTAAGGAAATGATCCAGTTGCGCAAAAAATTTGGCGTAAAATAGCCAAACCCCAATTTTCTCTATTTTATGGAATTTTTAAGATTCCGGTTTGTTTTTTTTTTTAAAAAAACTTCAAACTTGCCATCTTTTCTTCAAATTTTTGCTATTTTGCCATTTTACCATTTTTGGTTGATCTCTTTGCGAAAATTATCCTTTTTCCCATTATTTTTAATCATTTTTTGAAAGCTTTTAAACCTTGATTTATGATTTTTTTAAATTTTTAACTTTTAATTTCAAATTCTGGGATGAGTAAACTTTTTTTTTTATGAAGAAACAACAAAAAATTTCCACTCAATAGAAAATTGATGTTCAAGAGAAAAACTTGTGCTCTCGAAAAGTGTAAACGTACCCTTTTCTGGCGCAATCATAGGCTATTTTTATTGTTTTTAATTCATGACCGTGCTCTCAACAGTGCACCAGATGGTGCGCGTTTACGCTATGAACTCCGGCGTGCTTTGTGCTGTAAAAACACCTTCTCTAGCGCAATGAATGAGATTTTTGAAAAGCGTATTGAGGCTTTGAAAATTTTTTGTATATAGTGAAAAAGTTTGATAATCTTTTATCTTAACTTTTACAGATTCAAGGATTGCTTTGAGCTTTGAGGATTGCTGGGTTTGAGGCAGAGGTGAGCTGGGTTCTAGGCCAAGTCTAAAGCTAAAGCTTACTGAATTTAGAGATTACTGTAGCTTTAGTCTATAACTTGATCATATATCTAATTGTAAGCTAGCTCTAGACAAAGATCAAACATTTCGTCTAACTATACGCAGTGGGCGGTCAAATAAATGAAAGAATGAAAGAGAAGCCCTTTAACCCCTTTAACTACAGTACTGGACAATGAAATATCATATTTGAAAAAACACTTTCGCACTTTCGCGCGTCTGTAACTCCCTTGTCTTTGAGTTTAAACTATTAGTGTTCTACATTTTCTGAAAGCTCTTTTCAATGGCTACATAATGGTAATATTAATATTTAGAAATACGGTAAAGACAAGGGAGTTACAGACGCGCGAAAGTGACGATCTCTTTTCAAATATCATATTTCATTGTCCAGTAGTGTATCTGTCGTAGCCGATGAAGGATTTCAGCCGAAGAAGTCTCAGACTTCTTCGGCTAGCCGATTAAGTCCCAAAAATGAAATCTTGAGTTATGTATTGACTCAAGCCAATACCACAAACTCAAGCTCTCTAAAAAGCGCTTAAAAGCTAAAAAAGCATTCTAAAGAGTTTCAGCCGAAGAAGTCTGAGACTCCTTCGGCTGAAATCCTTCATCGACTACGACATATCTAATTTGAAGCTAGCTCTAGACAAAGATCAAACATTTCGTCTAACTATACGCAATGGGCGGTCAAATAAATGAAAGAATGAAAGAGAAGCCCTTCAAAGAACAAATTCAAGCAATTGACTGAATATCTTTTGAATAAGAAAAGCTCAAATTACAATAGTAAACCCTTGAGTTTTTCAGAGCCGATTGCTCTCATTTTCCCGGCATTTTTTTCAATTTTGAAAAGAATTTTAACTAAAAATGAATGCGATTTTACGAGCTGTTGGCTATCGGGTATGCTAAGTCGAAAAAGCTTCATTTTTTCGGGAATTCAGGAAAATGAACATATGGTAAACTTCACAAAATGTTGGTCAATGAAATGCCCACATCCAGGTGCTGATGTTGAAGTGTTACAAGCGGCTTTGAGGATTGCTGGGTTTGAGGCAGAGGTGAGCTGGGTTCTAGGCCAAGTCTAAAGCTAAAGCTTACTGAATTTCTGGTTAAATCAGAGGCAAATCAGAGGCAAATCCAAGGCAAAACAGAAATAAGTTGAACCAAAAGAGATCGCATAAATCAAAATCACAAATCAGCTCCAATCATAGGTGGATCCAAAGGATCACTCCACCACCGAGGCAGTGGACATGATCGCGAATGGGACAGCGGATATCACCGTTCACTCGATCATCCAGAAAGTCGAGCGGATGGCAAGGGTCTGAGAAATTACATGGAAAACTAAAACTTTAAAAAAACTACTAATAGATCTTAATGTTTTGATAATAATTTAAGATCTAGCTATGATAGTTTTCTAATGGACTTTACAGGTCGACTTCACTCTACCGATCAACTACTTTGTGTACGGATACTTGACAAAAGAAGTGGACGATGTCCAGGTACGGTAAGTTTTTATTAGCTTCTTAAATCTTTGGCGGTCGATACTTTGCGCCAATTTTTTTTTGCGCAACTGGGTCATTTATGCAACTAAGTTCTTTGCGAAACTCACCATAACTTTCTTCTAAGTCGGTCAATCTTTATGATTTTGGTTTCATTTTGTAGATCTCAACGAGTGTAACAAAATGACACTAATATGATAAATATTGGGCGACTTAGAAGAAAGTTATGGCCAGTTGCGCAAATGGCCTAGTTGCGAAGATGATCCAGTTGCGCAAAAAATTTGGCGTAAAGTAGCCACCCTCAAATTTCCTTTCTTTTTACGGTAATCTTGTCTATTTTTATTCAATCTATTTACTGATTTTGTTGAGGGTTCATCAAGGATATCGAAAGATACAAAAAGTTGATAGATTAAATCAAAAATAGAGCCAACATTACAGTGGAAAGAGTAAGAGGACAGGCTTTAGGGGAACGAGTTGTAGTATTTGATTTAAATATTCGATTTAAATATTTGATTTAAGTATTTGATAAATAGCTTCATATTTAGGTTGAAGATTTCATCATGACTTCGGTGAGCCCGTGGCTTTATCCATTTATTTATGGATCGGCCATCGTCTACGCTATTCTAATGGTGTTTATGTCGAGAGCAAAAGTGAAGTTTATTGAAATAAATAAATAAAAGCATTGAGATTAATATTGAATTTATTATATTGATACGAGCTTGCTTTACTTCTTAGTTAGTCGTTTGCTTGCTTGCGGCTTTAGCTTGCTTTACTTCTTATCGTTTGCTTCTTCTTGTAAAAGTGTGTGAAAAAACTCTTTAAACTATTGTACCTTTAGTTTAGTTGATAATGTTAGGCAAGAATTGAATTTATTGAATAGTATTTAGCAATGCTAACAACATGTTTATTGCCTTCTTATTGTGTTTCAACATTTGCGTCATTTTAAGCTAAATCCCACAAATTGCTGGCACTGGTCATTCTGTTGTCTGGCCGTTTTCTTGAAGCAGCCAACAAAAACGAGAAGGTGAGGTGAAATAATCAATAAAAAAAATCAATTAACTTCCATTGTGAACTTTCAACTAGAACTTTCAACTAGAAAGTTCCTGGCCAAGATCCAAAGTGTCTAGTCAATAAAAAAAAAATCAATAAAAATAAAGTACAATATCTTTTTCATATTTTCTTAGTGTACTTGTTTGTCAAGGATTACACAGAATGGTTGAAAGTAAAGTTTTTGAAAGAGAAACTTTAGCCTGAACACTCGTACAGCAGTTCTCTTCTCTACGTGGACGTGGTTTTGCTTCTTCATGGCGCTTTTCTATGAGAGCTCGATGAAGAGTCGAATGACGTTGACTGGCAAGAAAGGGTTTATATCTTTATTTTCTGCACTCCCACATCATCCTAGTAACACTTTTTTGTGAGCTAAGGTGGGCTAGTTAGACTCTGAACTAGCTAGGCTAGTTAGACTCTGAGCTAGCTAGGCTAGTTAGACTCTAAGCTAGTTAGGTTAGTTAGACTCTGAACTCAGGCACGGTAAGCCTTGATTATTCTTTCTGGCATAGTTTAGAATTCAAAATTAGAATCTCTGGCATAGTTTATTCATAGAAATAAAGATTTTAGTGTGCTAGGAAAGAGTGCGTTTAGAACTTTTGGAGAGCATAAAGTGAACTAAAGAAGAAAGAAAAGACTTTAGTTCTCAGTGATGCGCCAGAAGGCGTGCGTTTATCTCCTCGATGCTTTGGGTGTACTTTGTGGTGTAAATGCACGTTTTCTGGTATACTTAATTAGATAAAAATCGATTTTTAGGTACATCTTTGAGAATCTGAATGGCGTGCTGAATGCGGTGGAGAGGCATGGGTGGAATATTATTGTCGACAAGTCGGTTTTCATTCAACTTTAGCACAAATATAGAACCTATAACCTTCAGCGGTGGCTACGATCCGACAATGTTCTGCCGAGAAGAGTACAAGGAGTGCCGAACGAGAATCGAGAAGCTCAGGCCACAGTTCGTTTCTAAAGTCTCTAAACACAACCCTTCTGGCGTGATCGGAGAAAAATGAGGACTTCAGTAGAATAGAAAGGCGTTTAAAAGATTTCAGTACAAAGTTCAAAGTTTACTTTCAGTTTCGTTAGACGTGAAACCGCTTTTCCGGGGTTGAGCATCGAGGATGTGAGTTTTAAAAGCTAGAAGGCTAAAGATATAACTTTTATCGTTATCTAGTTAGCTGAATAAGTTGGCTGTTGGCTGTAGCTGAATAAGTTGGCTGTAGCTGTAGCTGAATAAGTTCATTCAAACCAAGACCACTCAAGCATTCGAAATTCTTTTAGATAATGACAAAAGTGCCAAAGTTGATCTACTTTTCCGGGCTTCAGACCGACTATTTACACGGCAGTATAGCATTTTATCGACCAGAAAAGCGGCAAGTTAACATTTTTGAGATGTTTTCATTTAGTTTAAGTTTTAGTTTTTAATTGCAGACTGTTATTCATTCGGGAGCCCGCTATGCCTCAACAAATGTTGGCCTTTGCGATTAGCAAGTAAGGACGATTTAATAAATGACAATCCATTGCAAGCCGATTTTCTCTATTCGAGTGCAAAAGTGCTAATGTTCCTATATAGTTCCTTTAGCTTAATGTTGGCCTTTGCGATTAGCAAGTGAGTGATTTCAAAGATGGAATGGTAGAAAAAGATTTCAGAAAGATTCCACACGTTCGCCGTTTGCTCAACAAAGCGCTCGCCGCAATGCAATCGAGTTATGGGACTTTTGCGGCAAGGTGAATCAAATAATGAGACCAAAAGGGCAAGAGCAGGCAAGAGCTAGTTCCGTTTTTGGTCTGATTAGGATCTGAACAAGTCAATTTCTGAACAAGTCAATCTCCATTCAATTCTCCTTCCAGATATCGTCTCCCTCTGCGTCTCTACAATCGTTCCGATTCTCGAAACGAGTTCTACGTTCTTTCATTTCTCTATATTTGGCCACTTTTTCGAGTCATGTTTTTGTGTTTAACGATTTCTTTGACTGTCTTGATTCTCGAGAATATTTACGCTCGACTCACGCTCATTCGAGAGATTTTTCAATGCCTTTTCACAAGAATTCATTGCTGTCGAATCCGGATTGTCCATCGGGAATAAATGCAAATTTTTGAAAGATTTTATCAAAAAATATTCAACTCAACAAGTCAATCACAATCCCCGCAATCGTTCACCTCATCACCGCAAGCGATCGCTGGATGATTGGGGAGTTCCCGGCCAACCTCCGGCGACTGTGTATCGGTTTGGTGAAGAGCCACTCCTAAAAGAAATTTTGGTTTAAAATTGAACTATAGTTAATTGTAAGTTCATTTTGTATTTTGCATCAAAAAACTTGCATTGTGAACGTCACTTTCAACTAGAAAATTTCTGGCCAAGATCCAAAGTGTCTAGTCTAGCCTGTCCGAAAAAGTTACACAGTTAACTCCCGCTCGAGGATCAAGTGCGTTGTGGTGTAATGCTGAGCACGGTTGTCCGGAAAGCGAAAGGTCGAGGGTTCGAGTCCCGGCGGCGCGCTAGTTTTTGATCTGCCCTAGTTTCATTTACATGGACTAGCAGAAGCCAGGTTTTGATCCAAACACTAGCTTGACTAGGGCAAGGTGAGCTTTTGTCTGGACACTATAGAATCGGGTATGAGGAATTCGAATCTGAAATCAAAATCTGCTAAATGACGTGTAATACTTCAATCACAAATTCAAAACGGATGCTTTGAAAGGTTTCTTCCTAGCAGGAGTTCGGGGACCTTGATGGCCTAGTGGATAACAGATAAGGCTTCCGCTCACAGGATCAGGGTTCGATCCCTGACGCAGTCCTTTGTTTTTGTTTTTTTCTGTCAACTTCGTTATTACAATTTACGGTAGACCGAAATGAAAATTATAATGGACAAGACTGAATATCTTTGAAAGTCTTTAATTAAAACAAAGATATGCCTAAATTTGAAAACACTAACCAACTCCCGTCATGCTCTCGATATCGCCACCCTCTTTATCTGTACTGGCTTCTGAAAAATTATGTAGATAATTAATAAATGATAAACAATAAATAATAAACAATTATCTACTTCGATAGTTTTATCAGTTTTCCCAAAAACCAACCGCTTTCCCGGCTCCTTTGCCGCAAATTCTCGGTGAAGCGTTCTGGTTTGGCTATTGGGGTTGAGCTAAAGATCTGAATATGTAAATATCTTGATTTTTAGATAATTAGTATAACTTAAAAATAATGTAAATTGAAACCCTCACCCATCAAACGGCCTCACCGGTATTAAGTGGGCGCCGCGAGACGGGACAAAGCCGAAATCGTTCGTGGCTGAACTGGGACATTATTGGTTACTTTATGATAGTTAAGTCTCTCTGGAGGACAGGGGATCAAGTGTCTTGTGGTGTAACGGTTAGCACAGTTGCGCTGTAAGTGAAAGGTCGTGGGTTCGAGTCCCAGCGGCGCAGAATTTTTTTTGATTTGCCCTAGTTCCGATTTTGATACTGGGGAATTGATAAATCTAGAATATGTCCATATCTTTGTTGTTGTGTTAAATATAACAATGTATTGTTAAATCTAGCAATATGTAATCTTTGATTTCTTTTCAAAACTCTTTCCTAGTTTCCAATAAACTAATTTGATCGTCAATTTTGAAATATTTACTCAAAAATTAATCCAACAATTTTCTCACTTTCTAATTAGAATAAGATTAATAATTTAATGTATTTTATAATTTTTATAAAGATATCTTTTTATAGAAACTAGAAATTTCTAGAAATTATTAGTTTAAGCTAAACAACCGGGGGACTACCGTATCTCTAATTTCGAGCAATTTACACAACGCTCACCGTGCACTACTATTAGAGGGAATACGGTAAGTGTTATTATAAAATGTTAAAGCCTTCAATGTAGATATGTATCGTATTTTCTCTAATACTAGTCCCCCGTGAGCGTCACCTAAATTTCTCGAAATCTCGAGAAGCGCTTATCAGAATCTATCGATACCTGTAATACTGTAGCTGGAGTACCCGTTACAGTATTTGTAGTAAAACCTTTTTGTAGATGATCACTGATATACAGTGTACCGTAAGAAGAGAACAAAAGCTTATAGATTGATAAAGATATTATTCGTATACCGTATTCTCTCTAATAGTCATGCACCCTGAGCGTCACCTTAATTCCTCGAAATCTTGACAAGCGCTTATCAGAATCTATCGATGTGGGGTCGGAAAATGTAGCTGATGATCAGATCTAGTAGGGGATATGAGTGTTGAGCTTCTGTGAAAAGTTTGGAAACTGTAAAATAGTCACCAACTCGGCTCGGCGGTGTGCACTACTATTAGAAAGAATCCGGTATTTAATAGTTTCCAGATGATAGCCTTGAGTAAAGCCCAAGAGTAGAATGCACAGATAACGATTGATATTTAATATAAAACGATATAAATTGAATACTTATATCTAACAAATATCTAGATGATCTTATCTTTTTGTTATCCAAAATAATACCAATCTCTTGATCTTCAGCAGCTGAGCAAGCGCAACAAGAAGCGCCCATTGAGAACAGTAAAAGAAACAAAAAGAAAGATTAAATAATTCAAAATAAAGAATATTATTATAGGTACAAATTTTACTTTAATAATTTATAAGAATAGGTGAAAAACTTGAATTTTATCAAAAATCTTTCAGATTTATCTGTTTTCCCTCAAATCAATCCCGATTTCGAGTGCTTTGAGTGGTAAACAAACAAGAAATTGAGTGAATTTTTGAAAAAAAACTTCTAGATAACTTTAAAATTCAAAAAAAACAATAATATTATCAAATACTACCAAAAATTCTTAGAAATTTGAGTTTTTTAATAATTTCTTTTTGAGGTCGATTGTTAGAGCTTCTCGATGGATTTCTATTGTCTGAAAAACGATAATTTATCATTTTCAATTACATTTAGCTAAATATTTTCTAACCTATAATAAAAGGGATCTATTTTCGGGAAACTATCGTAATCCAATCGTCGTTTTACGTTTGATTAGACTTTCGTCAAAATCGATGCTAGGAGTGCTCGATGCTCGATGCTCGATGCTTGTGCTCGATGCTCGTGCTCGTGCTCGTGCTCGAGGCTCGATGCTCGATGCTCGATGCTTGTGCTCGATGCTCGTGCTCGTGCTCGTGCTCGAGGCTCGATGCTCGATGCTCGATGCTTGTGCTCGATGCTCGTGCTCGTGCTCGTGCTCGAGGCTCGATGCTCGAGGCTCGATGCTTGTGCTCGATGCTCGATGCTCGAGGCTCGATGAGAAAATGAAAATAGCAAGCGGATTACGGTAGTTTAAATGTTTTTTTAGAAAAAGCTTTACTTGAAAACGATGACTTTATGAAATTACCTTAATTACTTTACTTATTCGCTCAAAAATCTCAAAATTCTAACAATTTTTCGAGCTAAAAAGTAACCTTTTCATGAAATCATCCGGAAAATGTTGGATAGTTGGTGATCGGATTCATTTCAATGTCCTCAGATCTTCGTCTAGTTCCCATTCTTGTCACTGAATGGTTGATCACTGTTGATGACGATCTGTGAACGGATTTTCGAAAAGATGTCCCCTTTTTACCGGAATCTTGTCTCTATTTTTATCCAATTTATCCACGATTTTTTTGAGGATTCACAAAGGCTATCTTTCGATAGAAAGCTACAAAAAAAAAGATGAATTGGATAAAAATGAAAAAATGCGTTTTACTTTTTTCTGTTTTCCTTTCATGTGAAAGTTTTGTCCTAATTAGGACGAAATTGTTTCTGTTTTTTATCGTCGCTTCTTTTAATTCAATTTTGTGTGAAAATTGCTCAAGTGACAGATGAAAAATTTTGAGTCAGTCGGCTATTGAATAAAATGTCTTAGTTCTCGTTCAAGTTCAATGTGAGATCTCGAAATAACGTGTCTTGGGTGAAGAGTACACAAAGAATATTTCTTTACAATACCCTCATCTATGGTTAGTATGAAATGATAGAAAACTGAATGTCTTCCCCAATTAACCCATCAAATTCATTCAGTGGGCCGATTCAGTGGGCCGATTCAGTGGGCCGATTCAGTTGGCCGATTCAGTGGGCCGATTCAGTGGGCCGATTCAGTGGGCCGATTCAGTGGGCCGATTCAGTGGGCCGATTCAGTGGGCCGATTCAGTGGGCCGATTCAGTGGGCCGATTCAGTGGGCCGATTCAGTGGGCCGATTCAGTGGCCGATTCAGTTGGCCGATTCAGTTGGCCGATTCAGTGGCCGATTCAGTTGGCCGATTCAGTGGGCCGATTCAGTGGGCCGATTCAGTCGGCTATTGAATAAAGTGTCTTAGTTCTCGTTCAAGTTCAATGTGAGAACAGATATCTCGAAGCAAGAAATAACGTGTCTTGAGTGAAGAGTACGCAAAGGATATTTCTTTACAATACCCTCATCTATGGTTAGTATGAAATGACAGAAAACTGAATGTGTTCCCCAATTAACCCATCAAATTCATCATTGAAAAGGGAAAGTCTGCAAAAAAATGCTCAAAAAAGTGAAGGAAAATGGAAATGCCAATAAAGCTGCCTTTTTTTAGGTCACTTTTTTCCTTGTATCGGACTTGTTAGCAAGCCTTTTCCCAAATGATTTCACTAATGTGATCACCGGAAAAACACGGCTAAATGTCTCTCACTTTCTTCCATTTCTCTAGCCTTTTTCACTTTGGCAATCCTTTTGAGAGTTTTGAAATTTTTGAAACATTTTTCCGATTGATTTTTGACCTTTCTTTGATCTTTCTCTACTTTCAAAAGCTGTAAACATTTACTTTCTAGCGCAGTGATACTAAATGAAACTTGGATTCAAAGAAGGGAACCTCTTGAACTTACTCTCGAGTTAAGAAATGTTTTTTGTGATATTGAATTGAAAAGAAGATTCAGATCACTATCACAGATCACTATCTGAATCTCGTGTGTGCTCTTGCTCTTGCTCTTGCTCTTGCTCTGCTTTTGGGACTTTAGATCTTGCTTTTGGGACTTTAGAAAGAAAATATTTGAGGTGAAAGTTAGTGAATTTTTGACAGTTTTTCTCGATTTTCTGGCGCAGTATGACTTGAGGGAAAGTTCAAGAGGTTTCCTTGTAACGAGTGCAATAGATGGTGGGCATTTAAGAGTCAAGTCAGTCAAGTAGTTAATCAAGTAGTAATCTCAGTCAAGTAGTTTCTTGCTTTCTTTGTTTTAAACGCAAATTCCTCAGGTTTTTCATATTTTACACCTCGATCGCTCATTAGAATTTGACATTTCAACTAATCAAGAAGAAATTTGAAACTTTAAAAATTTCAATTAAGTTTTTCGTTTCTAAATTAGATTTATTTGTTCTAAAGGGGAATTTCTTACAGGTAAAACCAACTGAAAACCTAGAAAATCGATTCAAATGAGATGAAAGTGGATGTCAAACTCGAGCGAGAATATGGAGAGGCGAGGAAAGCGGCTGTCCTCTCGATTCTCTTGGCCACTCTCTCCACGATTCTCTTCATTTCCTCTTTTCCGGTCTTCATCTATTTACAGCAATCATTCAGGTTTCTTTACTACTTTGTCAATGTACTTTGTGCTCAAATTTGTAAACGCACTCTAGCTAGTGCACTTAGTTCTCAATTTTTCTTGTTCTATCAGTCATTTCTTCAGAAAAAATGACGAATTGAATGCACTAGAAGGTGTATATTACAGATTGAAAAGTAAAAAAAAGCTTAAGCCAGCTACAGGCATAAGTCAGGTTTGAGCCAGGCAAGACCAGAAGACAGCTACAGGTCAAACTATACATGAAATCAGGCTCCAGGACAGGCAAAGTTAGGCCAACGTCGCATATCATAAGACTAGCTTTATCTCGATTTTAGTATCAGGATCTGTTCATGTTCTATAGTACTTTAACACTGTCGCAATGACGGTATTTTGAACGTACAGTCGCGTGGTCGTATCTATTAATGTCGTAGCTATCAACTATCCCAAATTTTCAGAAACGATCTCGATCAAGAGTTGACGAGTTGCCGCCTCGATGTGTATTTGTTATGGAGAGAGTATGAAGAGGTTGGGTGTAAGAAAATTGAAAATCCAAGCAAAAGTCGAGTTTAGTTGACGGTTTACCTCAACGTGAAACCGCGGTTGAAAAGAGAGGCACAAATGAATGATGGAGAGGTGAGGCAAAGTTGCGAGTGCCAAATTACGATCTTCTTAGATTCATCATCACGTCGCTGCTCATGGCGTCTCCGTGTTGTATGGGACGAGGATTGGTGAGTGGTAGCTTTCATCCTTTGACCCTTCTGGATTCCCAATTGGATCTGAAGGAGGGGTTGGCTGAAGGCAGCTAGCGCTTCACTAGAAGTCCTGACTAGAAACCAGCTACAGGTCAAACTATACAAGAAATCAGGCTTCAGGTAAAGCTAGACAAAGCTAGGCAAAGCTAGGCCAAGTCAAGGCAGAAGGAAGTCAGGCCTGGAAAAATTCGGTCAATATAGAGTAGATAGATCCAAGGTAAACCAGACCAGGTTTGAGCCAGGCCAGATGCCAGAGATCAGAATCCCAGAGCTAGGCCTGACAGGTCAGACCAAACCACGCTAGAAGACAGACCAGGTCAGCAAACAGGCTAAAAGCCAGGCCTGTATCTTAGCTTTGCCAACCCGTTACTTACTATTAGGCATTCAACCATCTTCTCACTTCTCAAACTCCCAACCCCATCCCCCACCTCCACCAACCGACGAGCAAGTGGTGATGACCGGGAATGGGATCGGAGGAAAACGAGTTGGCACAGGGAAATCGGCGAGAGTGACCAGGAGAAAGGTGATCATACGATAGCAATGCAGAATTCGAGAATATAGACAAATTAAAGCCAAATTTTTCCATGAGCTAAGTGATGCCGGATTTAATTGATCAAAACACAATTAGTCATAAATTTGTACGTTCAGGATACTTCAAGAGGCTCAAAGCCTGATCGTCGCTCGAGTATTTCCCTGATTTCCGGCGGTGATTCGATAGTGCCGATCCCATTGCCAATTGTTGATCCATTGACCGGAAAAGTTCCATTTCCACAGGTGAGAGTTGAAAATTTCAAAGTAAACCCAACTATGGCTAACTTTTTAACGATGTACTTTACAGTATGCCCTTTACAGGTATACTGTAAGCGAGTGCAGATCTGGACTTGGCTTCTGGCCGGGCTCTGGCCTGCTTATAAGCACCTTGAGCCCAGCCTGAACCCTGATCCTTGGTTCAACCTTGGACCCAGGTATCCTGGGTTTACTGGTTAAAAAAGACTCTGAACTAGCCAGAAACCAGGTCTGGACCTGGAACTGTTTTCTTTTTTGGTTTCTGGGTGAATCAAGTGCACCAGAAAAGATGCCTTTTAACAGATTTGAGCTCAAAGTACACAACGATTTAGCCCCTTATCGGCCTGCCCGCCGCAGCGGTGCCCGAGCAAAACGGTTTCCTCTTGCAGGATAAAAAGTACAAAATCCACTACATCACCTCACCGACGAGGGATCAAATAAGGAATGGAATCAAATTGGAAAAGAAAAAGGTATTATGAGTCGGTTATTTGGTTGAGACAAGTCGGCTATTTAGACAAACGAACGGAGTGCTTCCATCCCAACAAATAGTAAGGTGAGCTTTTTGAAGCAAAAAACACTGACTGAAGTTTGACTAAAAGCTTGACTGAAGTTTGACTGAAGTTTGACTAAAGTCTGAAGAAATTGGCCTTAAAACTGGCTTTAGACTCAGCAGCGAAAATCCCGGTACGAGCAATTCCTCGTGCTTGACCAAACAACAACCGTTGCACCGATTTTTGCGACTCTTGGCACAAAGCCGAGAGCACCGATCGAGGTGGAATACGAGGATACGTGGAGGTTCCTTAGCTAGAGATAAATTTGTAATTTCTATGTTTATCTTTCAGCCATTTCACACAATCCTTTTCCTCAAGAGCTCCACCATCATTTGGCCCGAAACGACCCACCTCCACTCAGGCACCGATCGTTCAGCCACAGGTAAGTGTACTTTGTGCCTCGTAGAGGTCCACTCTGGCCCACTCGGCTCTCCATTTTCCTTGGGAAATTGAGGAATTCAGTGCGCTAGAAGCTCAAAGTTTTGCTCTCAAAGTATACGATAGATCGATCCACAAACTCTACCCTGGCAGGATCCATTGACTCAACAATGGCCCCAAATTGAGCCACAGTTCATCCCGACAATGTCGTTCTTTCCACCGCAAAATGAGCACAAAGAATTCGATGAAGACGGTGGCTGCTGTGTGGGTGAGCCGGGTGATCCCGGCCCGCCCGGGATCGATGGGGATCCGGGTGGGTTGTATGAAAAAGAAATTTGGACATAGCTAGCCAAGGTCCTACTCCAAAGCTTATCCTGGCCTAGACCAGTAGTTCAGGCTTAGATCTAGTCTTGAGGTCCTAGCCTGTTCTATGATTGTCTTTAACTGACCTAATATAGGACCTAATTGTAAGGCTTTTATCTGGCTATAGCTGCGTTTAGACATAGCCATGACAGAGTTTTGTCTACACCTGAACAGATCCAAGGTTTAGGTGTAGGCAAGTTTAACTCTAGCTAAGGCTTACCCTGGACCTGACTCAGTATTAGATTTAGCATTGCTAATACTGCTAATATGCCCTACTGCTAATACTAAGAATTATACAAATCATCCTTCATTCATAGTCTATTTTTGAGCTTTCATTTCCAGGCTTCGACGGTCTACCCGGCGAGGAGGGTCACGATGGGCAAGATGGACAAGATTTCGGAGTACGTTTCAATAAAACAGTTATGAATTTAAGTATTAACTTTGAGTATTCATTGTAGAGATTTATTAAAAAGCCGTCACTGTCCTCACTACAGTATTCTTAAGCAGAAAATCGAGACTTAAGCTGACTAGTGAGCTGAATCAGTGTTGTTGTTGTTCCCCATTGTATACTTAAACAGGCATACTGTAAGACAGTATTAGACCTAGAATACAGTATTTTTGAGTAGTGAAAGAGTATAGTTATCTTAAGCAAAATTCTTATAACTTGTCAATTTCTAGGAGCTCCCGGTAGTGGAGTTAGGCGCCGAGGAGGACGGCTGGTGCATGATTTGCGAACCAGGAATCCCTGGACCAAGAGGTTAATTTAAATGCAAAACAAATGCAAAAGGTGCAAACCTATCAGTTACCTACCTATCAGTTACCTATAGCTACGATCTTACCGTAACTTATGCAAATTCCCAGGTCAACCGGGAGCTCGTGGCGACAGGGGTCCACCCGGACAGATCGGACCTCAAGGTCCAGCTGGGCGCACAAAGAAAGGGGCAAAGGGACTACAAGGTAAAAAAATAGATAGTTAGATATTCGGATAACAAATACATCTATTTATAGGCCCAGCTGGAGTAGCTGGTCGACCTGGGAGGAAGGGTGAACCGGGTTCTGGCGGCAAGGTCATTTACGAGGAGGGACCCTTGGGACCTAAGGGTCCACCCGGGACTCCAGGACTTCCAGGGCCACCCGGAGAGGAGGGTAAGGTCTATATGGGTTATCTATTCTCTAGGTTATCTATCACACGATATGCAAATATCTAATTTAGGGATACAGGGTGTTGCTGAAGACGGGCCACTTGGAGAACGAGGCGGTCCTGGGAATGCGGGAGTGCCTGGAATCCCCGGGATCCCAGGTCGACCCGGTCCCACTGGGAATCCTGGACCCTCAGGTGGGTAGAGAGATCTTATATAAGAAGCGAAGTATGTGTGTGTCTATTTGCTTCATAACTCGAGATCCAGTAGAGATTTTGTCCTGTTTTTCGAAGACAAGCTGTAATCGACTACGGTGGTTTTGTCTGTCAAATCAGAATTGAAAAATCTCTAGCCATTTTTGAGTAAAGTTGAAATTTGGTGTTGAGATCAAAGGCAGTAAGCTGATAAGCTGATTCAGGAAGTTGCAAGCACTGCAATCAACAACAATCATCGCAAAGGAGTCGACGGAATCGTCGTCGGCTACGATGGCGCAATAATCACTGAAAAAGATGGCTTTGAAACGGGAAGCTTTATGTGCAATGTGTTTATTTCTTTTTAAATAATATAGATTCTCAATCAATCAAAAGCTTCAATTTACAGTGTTTACAATTATAATTCAATTCAATTACAGTGTTTACAACTTCAATTAATTCAATTAATTCAATTAATTACAATTAATTACAATTAATTACAATTAATTACAATTAATTCAATTCAATTACCATATTTCTTCGAATAGAAAGACCGGGTAAAGAGTATGATCGCGTACTCCTGCGTAGCAGCCCTTTTTAAAATTTCTTTTCTGCATAAAAGCTTTCAATCAAGTGCTATAGAGCTGGAAAATGGCTCAAAAATCTGTTAGTGAATGTGGTATTTTTGAGTCATTTTCCACCCCTATAGCACTTCATTGAAAGCTTTTATGCAGAAAAGAAACTTTAAAAAGGGCTACTACGCAGGAGTACGCGATCATACTCTTTACCCGGTCTTCTATTCGAACAAATACGGTAGACTGTACCCTTTCCTAACAATCATCAATTTTTTTACCACTAAGTCTCTTTTTAGAAGTTCTAAGCCTTCAATCCCTTGAGTAGATGAATTCCTTTTCGCGCACATCTTCGCGCACATCGACATCACTTTTGATATCAAAGCCAGGTCATGTTTGTCGATTGATAATGGGCAATTGGCCAATGAAGAGAAGAAAAGAGAAAGACTTTTGAAAATCTCTATCAATTCTGTTCTCATCTATGATCACAAATGAGCACACTTTGTATACCAGCCGGCAAAAAGGGAGAGATGTTTAGGCTAAAATCTTCAGCAAGCAACGATCTGTGCCCATTTTCCATAATGGAAATTAGCATAAATGTGGAATGGAAGTTAGTGCACAGGATGGACGTTACAAACCGTGAAAGTTCTGGGCTAAGCCAGGGTATTGAAGGGTTCTGCTGGTAGACTGAATAAAATGAATAGCTCCAATCGATCCGTCAAACCCTGAAAACCCCCGGGTACAAATTCATAACTGAATTCTTTTTGTGCAAAAACCAAAGCGAGGTATTCTTTGCGCAGCCGCGTAATCGCTCTCGATCTGGCATAGGGCTCTAGTGTAAGGGGCTTCGCTTGCCGTCTCCCTCTTAAAACTTGGTTCATTTACCCAAATAGAGCCAGGCCCCGGAACTCCCCTTGTCGTCCAAAGTTCAATTAGATTTCCTGATCGCTGACCTCGTTTTCTCTATTTACTCAATCAATCTATACACTTGATAATTTGTGTGATTATTGTGCTTTCTCTGCACGCGGTTTCTGATCGTTTGTTGTGTTATTGGTTGAACCAAGACACTCGGTCAAACACTCTCCTTTTTGTTTCTTCTTTTTGAAGAAAGAAGACTCCCCATCACCCCATTTCTCGTAAATTTCAGCTTTCAGCTAAGCATAAATAGACTAAAGAGGAAATTTATTAGAAGAAAATCATCATTTCTTACTATAGAAATGAAATTTACATATGAAAAGATTAAGCAAAAGTTTACGAAAGAACTTCTATAGATTACGGTAGAATTTTTCAAGTCTCTAGCTGATCTACTTGGCTCAATTACCCAATCAAGCTCAATTAATTAGCGATATGATTGGTTCAATCGCCAATCTTAGAGCTAAATCAAACCCAAGAGAGGAGAAGATAATTTAAAGAAGTATTGTAAGAAAAGAGAGTACAAAGTACTGTAAAAGTCTGTAAGGAATACAAAGATACTGTAGAGTTGTTGTTGTTGAAACAGTACCCAATTTCAACTAATTCTTTTAGTATTATAAACGCATCCCTTCTGGCATACTCAATTCGTTTTTTTTTTCTATACAGAAACGACTGTTTTCATTAGAAAATGAAAATGATTGAGCACAGCAGAAAGGGTGTGTTTACGGGTTGCACAAAGCTCAAAGAACAAAGAGTTTTCTTGGCTTTAGAGGCTTTAGAGGCTTTAGAGGCTTTAGAGGCTTTAGAGGCTTTAGAGGCTTTAGAGGCTTTAGAGGCTTTAGAGGCTTTAGAGGCTTTAGAGGCTTTAGAGGCTTTAGAGGCTTTAGAGGCTTTAGAGGCTTTAGAGGCTTTAGAGGCTTTAGAGGCTTTAGAGGCTTTAGAGGCTTTAGAGGCTTTAGAGGCGTAAAGGCATCCCATCTGGTGCACCACTCCAGAAGTGCCAGAAGATGAAGAATCGAGTGCGCTAGAAAGTACACTAGAAAGGGTACGCTTTCACAAAGCACACGAAGCTAGCTTCACTTCAAAAACTCGGATTTTTCAAAGCGATTCCCCATTGCGTGTCTACGTGCATTTGTCGGCGATTGATTTGCCCATTCCATTCGCTCTTTCATTCGCTCTTTTCCCCTTCTTTCCCCCTCTCTTTTCCCCTCAGATTTGTGCCCCAAATACACACAAAATTTATCAGAAATCAGCGGAAATATTTGCATATTTCTATCAAAAATTTAGGCTAAATTTTGAATCGAAAATTTTCACGAAAATTTCTTATAAAATTCGATTTGAAGTTTCGTCGAAAATTTTGCCGAAATTTTGCCAAAATTTTCATTTCACACGTAGCCTCGAATTTCCATGGAAAAGCCGATCATTTCCATGGAAAAGCTCCAAGAAATAAGGAAATTTCCGAGAATTTTTGACTCTCGCTTATGCAAATTCACAGCTATAAGCTCAATGCAAAGATGCATGAAGTCTCAATGCATGAAGTCCCAATGCATGAAGTCCCAATGCATGAAGTCCCAATGCATGAAGTCCCAATGCATGAAGTCCCAATGCATGAAGTCCCAATGCATGAAGTCCCAATGCATGAAAACATTCATTGGATAACAGCCAAAGTTTCAATTCAATTCAATTCAAAGCTATCAAATCCTAGTAAAACCCTGGAAAGGTTTTTGAAATAAACTTTGAAAATCGTTTATTTTTGGGTGAACTGCTGCTCACATGACTTTTGACTTCCTTGAATAACATTCAAGAACAACAACTCCTACTTGTGATCACACACACACGTGAGAGGTCTTTGAAACGTAAAAGAACCATAAAACTAAAACATAAAACATATTTTCTCTCTTCTGAAAGACTCAAAGATTTTCAAAGGCCAAAATTCTGTAAATTCTGTAAATTCTGTAAACACATCCTTTCCGGTGCACTCAATTCCCCTTTTGCTCAATTCTAATTGCGAAACATAGCCGAATGGTCATGTAAATTGTCGAAATCAGAGCTAGAGTACGATAGATTTAAGGCTATTTGTAGAAACGCAAAATGCTTAACATTTTCGATCACTCACCGATCAGCAACACCACTGCCAATAAAAGAGGACGTATCCCTCTTCTATTGACAGTAGTGTTGCCCGCTCGCGCATACGGAGCCGTGTGGCACTATATTTCAATTTCAGGGGCATTTCAATAACTGTAATCTTTCTTCTGTATGATTTGTAGACCATTTTAGTAAATATATATATATGTATTAAAAGTTTAGTATGTAGAGTTCTCGTGTTTATAAGAGAAGAGAACTCGAGAATCTTTGTAAAGAGATCTCGAGAATAGGGAATAAGCAAAGCAAATAGGAGATTGATAATACACTAGTATATGCAGTTTGTTTTTATCTTAGTGGCTCTCAGGGTGCATCAAAAAGAGTGTTTTTACATGACAAAATATCACGTTTTGACCATTCTAGCTGTAGTGTTTCGTTTCGTAAATAGATATATGCAAATTCTTTTTCTTTTATTGAATCGGTGCCATAGACACTGCTGGGTTCGCTGTACGAGAAGACAGCACTGGGAAAACTGGGAAAAACGTGGATCACACGTCTTTAACAGTTTTAATAGTTTTAATTCAATAGTTTTTTCCTAGTGACTCTCAGAGTACATCAAAAAGAGTGTTTCTACATGACAAAATATAACTTTTACCATTCTAAACCCGTAGCTGTGGTATTTCGTTTGTAAATCTTGATATATGCAAATTCTTTTTCTTTTATTTAAGCTGTGCCATAGACACTACCGGATATGCAAGCTGTACGAGAAGACAGCACTGGGAAAACTGGGAAAAACGTGGATCACACGTTTTTAATAGTTTTAATAGTTTTAATTCAATAGTTTTATCTTATTGACTCTCAGAGTACACCAAAAAAGTGTTTCTACATGAAAAATATCACATTTTGACCATTTTAGCCGTGGTATTTCGTTTGTAAATATTGATATATGCAAATTCTTTTTCTTTTATTCAATCTGTGCCATAGACACTACCGGGTTCGCAAGCTGTACAAAAAACAGCACTGGGAAAAACGTGAAACGTGAAAAACATGAAAAAACAACAAGAAACGACAAAACTCCAGAAAATCACACTAAATCATCACAATTTTTGGAAAGAACAACGCAAATTTGAAGGTTTTTTTGAAAACTGAATAGCTACAGTACATAAAAATAACCCTGGCACGCTAAAGGACCCGAAAAAAACAGAGAAAACGATCGGAATATGACTAGTTGGCGCAAGTTATAGAAAGCTTAGATACTGTAACCGGATGGACTACGGTATCATTGAGAAAACTTTGAATTCGGATCAAATTCAGTACGGTAAATGAGTGTAAATGTACAAAAAGTCGAAAAACAAAGACAATTCGGGTACGAGAGTTTAGAGAACATTTTAGAATCTACGATACTTTCAGACTTTGAGATTTTTACATTATGGTAACTAGAGCATATTCTAAAGCCAACAAATCACAAGAAAAGTACAGTAACTAGGGCACAGTCTATCACAAAAGCCAATTACTGGCCGAATACCGAGAGATCAAGGATCTGGGAACAAGATTTTTCTTATTTTTCTTTTACGCTTACAACCCCAACTGTTTCGCGCATTGATTTGAGAGATTTCCGATAGGAGATTCGATGAAAAGGTAGAAGATTATCGCGGCAAAGAATGAGAGAATCGAGACGAATGGAAGCACGACGAGGAGCTCAACTGCACCGTGAGCTGTTTGGAGGTACGGCAGATGGTTGAAGATGTAGACGATCGGCATGTGGAGGAGATAAACCGAGAAGGTCAGACGGGCGAGAATCGACCACAAGGGGGACACTTGCACACTGGAAACGAAAAGATTAGAATCAAATTATGAGTACTGTAATGGGTACTTTAATCGGCTATGGAGCTACGGTGCTTTGGGGTAAAGCTTAGAAACCATAGCAAGGGTTAATGTATTCTAAAAGTTGTTTAAAACTACTGTGGCTACAATGCTCAACTCTAAAAGTTGCCCGAAGCTACCGTACCCATTAGCGGATACTAACAAGCCATTATTTTGCGAAGAAACGAACCTATTCTTTCTCCAGTACAACGCGGCGATCATCCCGCAGATACCGATTGAGAAGATGGTTCGGAAAGTCGCCGTATAGGAGAGATTGTAGAGATTCGTTGACATCTCCGGATACCAGTATTCAGGCAAAATTGCGTAGATCACACCAACACAAGTCAATGCACTAGCCGTGAAAAGTGTCGAGGAGAAACGCGGTGAGAATTCGGCCTGCAAAAATTGATAAATTAGATGATCTTGTGTACTTTGAGCTCTTCTTTGAGCACCCTTTCTCGCGCACTCGAATAGGATTTAATGGCACTAGAGAACTCGCACAAAGCGGCAGCACAAACTACGCGGCAAATAGAGTTCGCTAGAGAGTATGCGTTTGCACTTGAGTTCAAAATGCGTTCAATAGCGTGGTGCTGGTAGCTATAGTGTCTTGAATCTTAGATATTTCTTTCGAATTCACCTTTATATAGACGGTGGCATATCCGAGCAAGACTCCCACCAAGAACGGGCCACATTTAGTGTACGGTCGTGCGTACATATCCCACAATCCCTCGTAGGCTTTGAGGATCTCGATCGGGTCCGAGTCAGGGTACGAGATGAACTGAAAATGGAAATGGAAATGGAAATGGAAATTGGCATCATTTTTTTTACAATACTCGCATTTTACTGTAGCAGTAAAGAGGCATGAAATTCTAAAATTTCTCTCAAATCTCAAAGCAAAACGATTTGAGTGACCAGCTAGAAGCTTTGAATACAGTACAATAAAAACGAAAACAAAGCATTTATTCTTTCTCATATTCTAAAAGCTGTCCAAATCCCAAATCCAAATGTCCAAATGCCAAAGCTACCCTAGCCACTTTTGTCTTAAAAATTTCCCCCAAAAACAAATGCTAAAAATAAAGTGAAATCATTTTTTAAAACTGAAAAATGAATTCCCACTAATCTCATTTACCTTTTGTTAATGTTGTAAAGACTAAACAAAACAACAAAACATTCATAAAAGTCAAAAAGTAATTTTCGATCGAAAAGAGTACACGTGTTAATTGGATTTTTCTTTTTTTTTTTTTATTTTTAAATAGACCTTTAGATTTTCGTGAAAAAACGTCAAAACAGGTGATTTTCGGAGAATTTCCCACGAAACAAAAACGTGATTAAAGCGTTAACTTAATTCTTTCCCCTAATTTCTGGGAAATTCTAAGAAATTCAAAGCATTTACTCTCAACTAATTTCTTTAGAATTTTCTTATCACTCACCGGGATATCGACATCACTCTTGTTGCAGACTCCATAGATCGAGCAGTGAGCGGCCCGGAGAACGCATGAGGTGGCAATCGTTGCAAAGATCACCGCCAATCCTCTCACTTTGTTGGAGACGAGCAAATGGAGGAGGAAAGGAAGAGCCAGATGCAATTGCATGTCCAATCCGAGATACCACAAATAGCCCATGCAAGTCGGCGTTGATTGCCAATTGCCGGTGAAGGTGAGATGGCTGAGGAGACCCTGCAAGCCACAGTCCGAGATCATCGTCGATGTGTAACTGCAAAGAGAGGAAGGGTTATTGGAAAGGTTGGAAAGGCTGGAAAGGCTGGAAAGGTTGGAAAGGAAAGGTTTCAAGCTCATTTTAAAATCTAGTCAAAGGATTACAGTACTGTTCATGTTTTAGAATTCTTTGAAAATGTTATGGTTAGAGCTTGTTCAATGATGGATTTGTATCATATTTTTAAGGCTCACCGCGGCAAGACGGCTTTCATGATCGGTCCGGCGGCAAGGTAGACGAAAAAGGCGATTGAAGGGAAAAGGCGGAGAATGCGACGACCGATGAATGAGCGATAGTGAGACCAGAAATCGTCTTCCGCGTTCCGCAGCCACGAACGAGCGCCAAGCATACCGGAGAGCACGAGGAACACCTGCTATGGATATATAGAAAGAGTTTTTGGGGCACAATTTAGAATTCACTCGGTAAGCATATAGTTACGGTAGGCACATAGTCCTTTCTATATCTTTAGATCTAGATTCTACAGACCATTAATGGGTTCTAAAGGTCTAGCACAGAATTCTATTTGATTTAGATATGGATTTAGATATGGCACATGAAACAATAACCCACCTCAACCCCGAGGGCACTGTTCCCAAGGAGTGCGCCGAAGATCGGATGCGTGTGCACGTTGTGTTTGAATGTTTCAGCTGACGGGAGTCGATCGAGGATATCGACGCGACCCTCGGATCCGGTGTGGTTCATCATCACCCACAAGATGGCGATCACTCTGCAATACCCGAAGATGTAAATTGACTAGTAGAGGGTACTGTATCCTGATCCAAGTCCTTCCTGGGTCTCCAGGGCCTGAACCGGAATATCCTGCAGTACTGGATAAGGCTCTAGTGTCGAAAGCTTACAATCTTGTTAGAGGCTTATAGCTAGGGTCCTAGACTCTGCATTCTGAAGTGTTGCTGTCTCCGAGGAGAACCAGGAGTACTAATAGTAAGTTCTAAGGTTAGGTCTTCAACCTTACCTAAAGCAATCCAGCATATTCAGTCTTGATTGTCGCCCAGTGGTCAACTCTTGCCACGAGCGTTGCAGAGAGAGTGAACGGAGGGGAGACTTTGCGACAAAGGTGCCCATCAACACAAGGCAACCCCACGCTAGCAGAGGAGTCACCGCCGTCCCTACTGTCTCCGGGAAAAACGAGTCGAGCAGGCAAGTCTGCAATGTACTGTATGACCTTTTGAATCCCTTTAAATGCAAATTTGATTCGCTAGTGGTTCGCTTTTAATGCAAATTTTGAATATCTAATGAATTCTGACCTTGCTCTCATTTCCCGCGCTGATTATTGTCTCATTCTCGTTGAGTCCAGCGGTTTGCAAGAGTTTCAACATGTCCAACGTACGGAGATCCATTTGACGGAAACCTGGCGCCAACAGCGACGCCTCGGTCAGTATTTCAACTGAGGCCATTTTTGGGGAATTCTTGATGAACTTGTAGACACAAGTTTTTGCGTGAAGAGTCTGCAAATCGATTTTGGAATTGTCAGGGTTTACTGTAAACGAGAGAGAAAGAAACTGAAAATAACGGGATTTTGAAAGTGTCAAGATTTCAATGCACTAGACTTTTAGATGAAAATACTAGATGATCTTATGGGTAAAGGTATTGGGTAAGCTAGAAGGTTATGGAAGCTAGAAGGAAGGAGGTAAAGGTTTATGGGTAAGCTAGAAGGTCCAAAGGATCCACAAAAGTTTAGGTTACGTTTTGAAATGTTTAAATAGTGTCCTGAAGGTCTTACTGTAGTTGGAAATGGTCTTACTGTAGTTCTAGGGCATAGGCAGAAAACTAGGATTCTAAAAGTCCTCAGATCTCTTCTAAAGCTCCTAGAGTTCTAGTTTTTTTAAATGCCAAAACCATAGAGCCAACTCCTACAGAATTCTTAGAATAGAAGCAATCAAAAGCTGTAGACCCCGGGGTATCCAGGGCCCCAAAAACCCCAGCCTATAGCCCAAGGTATAGAAAGCTTCCCAAGGAAGAAATGTATTCAAATTTTCCTCAAATGAGCCCCGCCTTTTATAGGGAATGTACGTGCTTTTCTTGAAGGTGACAGTACTCCGAAAATGTCCTTTCTCAGCCCCGCCCCTGGGAAAGATTTCGATGTGACCCCCATAAATGCGAGACAAACAGGTGCAAACTGGATTATGCATGTGAGGAAGACTATTTCCTCATTTGGTTACGGTAGTTGAGGTGAAAAGTAGGCGTTCCCCTGAAGAGGGCCCAGAGTCTAGGCCCCTCAGGATCCCAGGCCTCACAGGCCCCCTCACTACGTGTGAACCCCAGGCTCCCAGCCCAATCAAATCTCTTCTTCTTTCTCTAAATATATGCTCTATAATTGTCCAGGGTTCAGCCTTGTCCTCCCGCCCAGCTACGTGTGAACAATCAGGCTCTCATAGGGCCAAAATATGTCTATATCTTTCTCTAGATCTATTGAGATTACTGTAGTTAAGGATGTAAAGGCCCAAGCTCATTCTGCCGCTCGGCTCATCCAGGCTCGGCTCATCCAGGCTCGGCTCATCCAGGCTCGGCTCATCCAGGCTCGGCTCATCCAGGCTCGGCTCATCCAGGCTCGGCTCATCCAGGCTCGGCTCATCCAGGCTCGGCTCATCCAGGCTACTTGTGATACTGTAAGGCTTGGGATTACTGTAGTCATTGAGGGTAGCCTGTAAAGTAGACATTTCTAGGAAGTACCTTACAATTTGCTCTCAGGGTCTCAGGGTCTCATGGCCTTAGGCTCAAAGAGAGGTCCTAGGCCCCAGGCTCAGGCCTGAGACCCTAGGCCTAGCCAGTCCCGCCCACCCTCCACCCCCCGTCTACGTGTGAACCCCCGGGCTCCTAGCAAATCTCGATTTTTCTCTATCCAAACGATCTCTAACTTATTTCCATTATCCCTCATCCGGATAAGCCTTTTGGTGTCTGAACTCGAGAATTTTTTCACTGCTATTTTAAGCGGAAAAGTACGTTTAACGAAAAGCACCCAAATTGTACCAATTTTTGCGCGGAAGTTGGATTAGAGACCGAATTTAGATCGACTAGTCTAGTTGGGTAAATAAGAGTGCGCTATACGAATGAAGTGTGCTCATATGAACCAGAGCTCTCCTTATACTTGGATAAATACAACAGTTGGTGTTGGGGAACTGAAGTAGAACTAAATTTGGGGAATTGTACCAAGTGCTAAACGGGGATTTGGATTCTAAGCTGAACCCAGAAATGAATCGGCAATGAAAGTTGGGTAATTGAAACAAGCGCTACAGCATTTCTCAAAGTCAGCCTGGCTTCAGCTATTGAACCGGATTGGATTTTCAAACCAAGGACCAAAACTGCGCAAATGAACCAAGTACTACAATTCTCATAGTACAATTCTATTGGTGAAAACTTTTTTAAAAGAGTTATTTTGAGTTTGTAAAAATGGCTTTTTAAATGTCGTTTTGTAGGATTAGTTAACCATTCTACTGATTCAAACGCATATTATTTGGGGGGAAGGAGTTTTTTTTTGTTTTTGGGGGCGGGGTTTTGGTCCCCAACCCAATACAATAGCTTTGAGGGCTTCAACATTTGACCAATTAAACCGGATATCAAGTTTTACACAATTTCTTCGTTCTCTTATTTTCTCTAAAAATTGATAAGTGTGCTAGATGCTGTGTAAAGAGTTGGGGTAAATGAATCAGTTACTAAACTTCGGTAATTGAAACGAATTGGATTTCGAAGTACCAAACTTGGGGATGTTTCAATACAAATGATTCGTCTAAATGTTCTCATAATCAGCTTTGATTCGGTAATTGGAACCTGTTAGGTGCGTGTGGGTCGACCTGGCTTTTCTCAGATGCAAGTGCTTGAGCTAGGCTTGATTCTGGCTGGTCCTGGAATAGCCAGGACTCTAGAGTCCATAAATATGTTTGCATTTGTTCCAAAACTTTCCGAACGATCTAGTGCGAGCGCAAGACTCATAGTTAAGCCTAGGCCTCTAAGCTGAGCTCTAAGCTGAAGCATCTGTGACCCAATCCTTTAGGAACTCAAAGTTTCTTGCACTTTGCCCTAGGAAACAATGGCTGTGGCATCCAATAATGTGTCTCGTGTAATCTCTTTTCCCCATCTAATCAATCCGTGACTTTTCCGCGAACGATCAGGGTCATCCGAGGTACACGGCTTCTCCATGGAGTCAAAAAACGGGAACAAACATTGATGATATAAAAGAAAAAATGTTTAACACATCAAAAATAACTATCATCTGATTGGGGATCATCTTTCTTTGCAATATTAATTCACTCGGAAAAGCAGACGGACTATCGTAGCTTTAAGCTCTTATTTTTGAGCTCTGATGCCAAAGATGGGTGTCTATTTCTTGAAACAAACAAGCTAAAGACTTAAAAAACATGGGAAAATGTTTCTGGTGTACTAGTGCTCTAGAAAATTGCAAACATACCCTTTTCTGGCACACTAAAATCTCCCAGGTTAGTCAAGAAACGGAGTCTGACTAGAGAAAATGACCCAGATTTTGTCTTACATACTTCACATCGTTTTTGCACCAATTTTCCGAATACTGTAAGGATATTGTGGCTTACTGGGGTACTGTAGGGTTACTGTAGTCTAACAAGACTTAGTCTAAGCAATAGCGAGCTACTTTCTCAGCGTTGATGTAATCCTTCGTGTAATCTAACAAGGGAATGGTCTGAACTAGCCGAACGATTTCGCTACGCCGCTGAAATGCAAACGCCTATCGAGCATTGAGAACACGATGCTCTATTTATCTTTTTGTCCACTCTCAATGGCTTACAAGAAAAACGCTTGCAAAGTTTGAGCGTCTAATCGCACCTCGGGCAATCGCACCTCTTTCCTTTCTTTCAAGCGAAGCCTAATAGTGTGGAGGCAGATGTGCGCGCTCTTAAGCTCAGTTTTGCTTTTCTTGACCCTGGTTCGGATCCGGTTGCGGTAATTTTTTTTGCTTTCTTTTGCTAAACCTTTAAAAATACTTTTTATTTATTTTAAAATGGTCAACAATAATTTTAAAGAACAAATAAGATTACACAAGACACATTATCGGATGCCACAGCCATTGTTTCCTAGGGCAAAGTGCAAGAAACTTTGAGTTCCTAAAGGACTGGACATAAAGGTCACAGATGCTCCAGCTTAGAGCTCAGCTTAGATGTCTAGGCTTAGCTATGAGTATTGCGCTCGCACTAGATCGCTCAGAAAGTTTTGGAACAAATGCAAACATATTTATGGACTCTAGAGTCCTGGCTATTCCAGGACCAGCCAGAATCAAGCCTAGCTCAAGCACTTGCATCTGAGAAAAGCCAGGTCGACCCTCACGCACCTAACAGGTTCCTATTCCATTTCTGAAGCTTTAGATCTTAAGCCATGGTTCTATAGGATTATGAAAGTTTTGGTTGAAGGTTTTCATTGGGGTACAGTCCAACCATTGTTTTCCTGTATTTTTGATAAAATCTGACCAGACCGGAGCCTCGGGAAAGGACCAAATCTCTGGACTAGAAACCATTACTATAGTATAAGAATAGGGTCGGATCCCGAAGGCTTCCAGTGCCCTGAAGGACCCAAAGGACCTGGCTAACTTGTCTACAGAGGTTACAGGCTCTTAGGAGTGCTCAGCCAATTCAATTTTAGAATCCCATTCAATTACCCAACCTAGTAATTCAGTGAATTCTCTTTATAATCCGGTTCAACTACCCAACTGGGCTCAGATGCAAGTATTGTACCTGATTCAGTTACCCAACTGGCACTAGCTCAGTTACCCGAGAATCCGAAGCTCTCAATTCTTTGATTAAACACTTTAAAACTGAATCACTACCGTAATCCGCAAAATCTTAACTTGGTCCTTTCAACTTTTGAAGACAATGTTCAAAAAGATCCGATCAAATCCCCTTTTCACCTAGTACGCCAATTTTTTTTCAGCTAAATCCTTTCAAAAATGAAAAGAAATTTTAACACTATAGCAAAATGAATTTTCTACTTTCTACAGCTACTTTTTGAGGGTTTTTGACTTTAGACTACCCCTGAAAGTGTTCGATTTCTAAAATAATATGGTCCATCAAACTAGGTGCCCCGCAAGGTGATTGGGGAGCTCAAAAGTGCTCGAACTCACTTCAGTAAAGCCACGAATGACCCAGATAAACAATTCTCACCCCAGCAAAATCTGAATAACAAAATCGAAGATGAAACGTGCGTACTTTATCTTTTTTAAATCTTGAGGTTAAGCGGTTAATAAATTGAGAGAGAAAAAAGAGAGATTTTCCGAGATTTTGTTGAATTGATTGCCATGACTTTTACTGTGTTTGTGAACCTCATTTCACCAAATAAACAAGACTATAATCTGCTCTTTAATACAGGGATTTCCATTTGTGGATCATTTACAAGCAATTTTTATGAAGATCCGTTCAATGGCCATCGACGAAAACAA